AGAAAATTATAGCTCACAGTACATGAAATAGCTTTTCCGTCAAGTGGAAAGATGAAGTTAAAGAAAGAAGTCTATAGAAGGTACATACAAATATGACCTTATTTCAAACTTTATAAATGGATTAGATTATGAAGATGTAAGATGCAAGTGTTACGTTAGGGAGGTATGTGCGACAATTATTAGATACAATCAGTTACTACCAAAACTACTACTACTATAAATATATATATTTTGCTTTATAATGTACGTTATTTATATTAATATTCCGAAATAAAATAGTATATATTCCTTGTTTAGAAGTCGAAGAGTTTAGTTGAGATACTCATATACGATTTCAAATGATTAATCTAAAGTTTTAAATATCTAAAAAGGTAGTTCAAGTTAAACTAATATATATTTTTTATGTTATATAAGATTATAATAATTATTATATATAAACGTCATTTTGCCTTATGATAGTTATACGTTAATGCGTTTATTACAATGGTAATTATTCACTTAGCTTATTAGCCTGGCATAATCTGACGATTATCTATCACCGTTTCAACCGTAGGTAATTCGTAATAGATTAGGCGTGCAATTTTCCCATATAACTATGACGCATTTACGACGATTAGGTTAAGACTTTAATTATTGGATTATGTTTTGGATTATTAATATAAATTTAATATATAGACATGTTTTAAAGATCAGCTTTGAATTTCAAGTAGAGAAATCTAGATGAAATGATAACTTTTTAACTTAGATGTTATGTTTTTTTCAATTCTTTATGTGGTAGCCTAGTGGTTAAAAGGCCCGCCTCTCATGCACGAGGGCGCGGGTTCGATCCTGGCCCAGGCAAGTACCAATGTGATTTTCCCGAGTTATATGTACTTTTTAAGAGTATTTAGACATCATTGATTAATGCATTCCCAAAGAGGGTTGATGTCAGGCAGGCGGCTGGTCTTAAAAAACAATTAGCCAAAACTATTCATAACATGTAAGGCAGACCCTGGCTACAGCTGGGAAATTGCCAGGTAGAAGAAAGTATAGTTAAAATTTATCTTTGGTACATAATATACATGTATATTATATACCTTTTGTTTCACAATGACCGTACGTCAGTTCAGAACGTCCTTTGAAATTTAATACCACGTCAGTGCTTAGTAATTATTGTGAGCATATGTACGTATTCCTATATTAAATGTAGGCGTATTGTCGGAAATAGCTATTGATATCATGTTTCACATATATACATTCCTATAATATTATGTGCCTATTGTCTCTAAAATTCAATATCTCTTTACATGTCAAATACATGTTTGTAATTCATGAAATATTACTTGTTATCGTTATTAGTAACTGCAAGACAAAGAGTAATAAGATGAGGAGAAGAATTGTAATAAATCTTAGTAAAAATGTCATATTTAATAAGGATTGACCCAACAAATAATGATCCCAGTTTGAATACGTAGAAAAACAATGCAAAAGTGACCTATAGCAAATCCCCAATACTGGATTACGTAAATTTACCTTATAGGATTAAACGTCAAAAACATTTTACACAGCCAACTCGATTTTCATGTGTGAAAAAAGACCGCTTTGAAGTTTTAGGAACGCTACAAAAGCTATTTGGTTTTCATGTACGAGTATTTTGTTGAGGTTCGTCAGTGTGAGGTGTAGCTTTAATCGATCGATAACCGGGTTTAGTCCGGCGAGAGAGCGGGAAGAATGAAATATTAAGAGATAACACTTCTTTCTTTTTGGACTGTAATGAAATCATTAAATAATTATGTTATGAAGAAGGTGGTTATATATTGGTGATAAATTAAGAGATATTTTACCTGACGTGACAATGAGAAGCATTTGTTTGACAGAGTTCAAAATGATTATTATCAAAGTAGATACATATGTTGTTAGTTATTATTTTATTTACTTGTTAACGTTCCAAAGACTCCATTTTTTGAGCTGAATTAGATATAGGAATTTAATATGTGATATAATAAACATATTTATATTATATAAAACAAATTTAAAGGAATTTTTGAGTTTTTATTACGCATTTTATTATAAATTTCAATCTATATCAATTTCCATTACTTTGTGTATCATATAATAAAGTTTACAAGTATTATTCAGAGTTATTATTTAATAACGAAACTCTTTGTTCCGCAGTTTTATCGATATGGAACATGATGAGTTACATTTCATTTTATGTAGAAGCTTTTCGATCAATTTACTGAGATATGGGAATATAATTTTTTAAAAGGTTATGTTATTTTAAAGCCTACATGCAGATTATTAGCGACGGACATTTCGAAGGCAATTCAATTAAGAAGCTAAAAGCGTCCAGTACAAATATGTTATTTAAAATCAGAGATGAGAAATTAAAGAGAAATAGAGTTGAAACACTCGTCGTTTCAGACCCGCCCCCAATAACTTGATGAATATTTAAGAGATTCATTGATGTTTTATTTCGAAAGTTTATACAGGAACTTGTTACCGTGACCACTGCTTGCAAGCTTAAACTTTACACGGTGCGTTCTGAGTTTTCTGTAAATCTTTAATCACGATAGTATCTATGTTTTTAATATCACGATGCTGACTTGTGGTAGGGTTACAATAGATGGCTCATGTAAAATTCATCATGAAATCTTCAAAGTTCAATATTTAAGATGTTTTGGTTAATTTAATCAATTGCATTCTCAATACAAACTGTACGTAAATTCTTTTTTTACCGATTAGTAATGGATTCATTGAAAAAAATTAAAATTATTTCGAACATAACTCGGAGAATTTTCTTGTAAAAATGCTAGTTCCATTGGATTTGAAATGTAAGACTAAAGTTAATGGTACTAACATGATTATCTTAGTAGAAAAAGTGGCAAAATGAATATGTTATCCTTAAATAAAGGGTAAATTGCTGACGAGGATTTTTGTTCATTTCCATGTGAAGACAATAAAAATATTTTTTATCATAATTATCCTTCCCCAATAACAAAAACTATAAAAGATATCAGTGATCATCTTACCATTCGATCCTTGTGTAATAACTTCGGTCTAAATTAATGAAATTTGTCTTTTGACCTTTTCAAATACAGCAACAATTGATATACTCAAAGTCAGTTTGCTACATTTCCAATATCAGCATGCCTATGAAATTGAGCTTTGGATAACAATTGAAATAGAGAAATCTGGACGTATCGGATGTAATGATTGTGGAGTGTTTATTTTGAATATTCTACATATTACTTTGGAAGCTAGACCGCAGAAGTCCGAATACTTAGGAGTTTTTATGTTGAATTATCTTTTATTTTAAACCACTCTTTGTGTTTGATCGATACTTTCTCTAGTAATAGTCTTATTAGTGCAAGCGTTGATTGAGAGTCAATGCATTGTCTTATATTTATATTCAGTTTGTAAAAAAAGTTACACACTATCTAGATATTTCACAAAAAGAGTTGGCTTTATAAAATAAGATAAAGAAACCTAAGATAAACATCTACAACTTAAGCCTAAAACATTACCTAAAATAATCAAAGTATACTTTGAATTTAAACAAATTAATAAGACGGTTTGATGGAAAAGAAATCGACAGTTAAAATGCTTAGCACACATATCGCTATTAAGGATTATAAAAGAAAAAACGATAACTCAGAAATGTTCCGAAAATAAGTGAATACTTTTTCTCTTTAAATTATTTATTACAATGGAAATAATATTTCTTTTTATCCCAGGGGAAGCTTTATCGACCACAGCCCTGTCCGGGCTAGGCGGGAGCCGATGTCAAAATAACATTTGTTTCATAAATAGATGAACTTATCCGAAACTATTTTCGTATCTAAAAATAGCTGGAGTCTGTATTAGTTACTAGCAATATCTGTATCTTGAGGAGGCTGTGGTTGAGAAACAATAATAGTCTTAATTATTTTTGACTTAGCAATAATAACTTAGACACCAAATAAATCTCGAATAGAATGTCAAATAGTATTATTATGAGCGAACAGTTCTCAATTACAAAAACACAAATTTATAAACATAACTTGCAAAACAGACACCTTATAACAAAAAAAGACTATATATATGTCCAAACCCTTACTAACGAATTACTTACCTAATATGAATACGACTTGCATCATCCTTCAGATTTTTTTATTATGGCTACCTTTTACATATGTATATGTATTAAATTATCTTATTCGGTATTTGATTATGTCGAAGTAAGTCAAGTTTGTTGATAGAAAAAACGTTGTCACGTCCTTTGAATGTTGCAACAGTTTTTTGTACAAAGTTCTCGTGTGAACTGACGTTCAGCTTTATACTAAAATTGATATTTTGAGGTAAACAACGCTTGACAGGTGTTTTGTGTGCCAGAAACAATATCGACCTCTCTCTAGAATAATGTCGAGTAATCCACCTGTTTGTTTAATTATTTTGATCAACTATATTCAATATTTTCAACCAATATAATAAGTTTTGAGCTTAGATTGTTATTTTCAGTCGAAAAGGTTCAGAAACAGATCATTAGATTTTACTTAATGTTCCGACTTAAATCTACATATATACTTTATTAACAAAAGTGATTAAGTATATGAATTATAAAAACATTCCTGAAAATTTCTTTAAAATTTTTTTATGGAGTTTTACTGAAAACGTTGTCGTCATTGTTGAAATATAGACTCGTGACTTTTTATTAAGTAGCTTATTTTATTCGGCTTCTATTTGTTTGAATATCGTTTCGCTTCAGAGAGAAACATGTGAAAAATGTATGACATTTTATGAAACAATACGAACAAATGATAGAACGAGACAATGTTTTTATATCTGGTATTGAACTTTGTATTTACAGGGTTCCATTTAAAACATGGGTCGTGTTTGGGCAATAGCGAGATTCAATATTGTTACGAGTAGATTTATTTATAAAACTCTTTCATGTATTTCTAGTATATTAAGTTTTGTTTTATATTTAGCGCGAATGTGTCGTTTTGGCAGTTGTAATTAGTTTTCAATTTTGTTTACAGACAGACAATTCTATCACAAGTGGGCGCTGCTGACTGACCCTGACGATGTCAATGCTGGCCCCAAGGGATACCTCAAATGTGACATCAGTGTCATTGGTAAAGGTGACACTGTCAAAGTACCACCAAAGAGTGAGAAAGATGAAGATGACATTGAAGCGTAAGTTGACCTATAAAAGATAGTATAATAACACATTAAATACTAGCTTGTCTCAAACAGTTGCAGCTTTAATTGATCTGCTTTTAACAGGAATTTGACACCGAAGGTTTTTTGATACCATCACTTTTTCTTTATTATATTATGCACTAACTAAGAGTAACACGTTTTTAACATACTATTTACAATAACATATATAGGAGCCACGCTTTTCGTTTCTTTGGTTTGGTTGTCTTATTCATTTACAATAAAGTAAAACAGACACATTTGTTGGTATTTTTGTTTTCTTACCGAAAATTATGAAGTAGAGCTTGTAATATTATATTCTTGTAAATGAAACAAAGAAAATAATGTATGGATAGTAATTCGCTTTTTTTATTAATATTTATTATTCTTCAGGAAAGCTGCAGGAGCAGGTAGGAAATATTAATCAGTAACCCAATATCACAGCAACGTCACTCTTCACGTCTATGGAATGCCTTCGGGCGATGTCCAATTATAATTGAATATGATATATTATATTATATTATATACAGGAACCTAATTAACGAGTTTTCCTCCTCTTAAATACATATATGCTAAATATGATCAAAATTGTTATATTTATTTTGAAGGAAACTATAGTTTTTAATAAAGTTATTGTTTCAAAAGTGAATTAAAGAAACGAAAACATAAAAAGTACATCGTATAAAACCCAATTTGAATTGAATTAAAATCTGTTGAGTATTGAGTTGAGTGTCACATTCAGACTTTACAATGTACTTTGAATAGAACTACATTCTAAGTTGGTCGGCATCTTAAAAGTTTGTTTAACTTTAAGGCTTAAGATAAAGGGATGTAGAAAATGTTGTCTTACTAACAGCGTCAGACATTGATCTTAAATTTCTGAGTATAGTCCCAGAACTCTTCGGACCATCGTGTTAAAACTTAAAGCACTTCAATTATTTTTACTACGTATGCAATAATTAAATTAAAATATCTCATTATGGTTTAACGCTAATAACAGTTTTTATGTTGAGATGTTTTCTTAAATTTTAATGTTATATCAATACAACTGGAGTTATTATTGCAAATGTAATGTCAGATAAAATTTCCATTTGAACAACATTAAACGTTTCACTGTGACCTATTTACGCATCCCATAAAGGAAACAATTCCCGCGGTGTTTCCTAAATGTGTACTTTTCATGATCTTATTTGCCAGTGTAACCGCTTACCTTGATTCGCTTCACCGATTCGCACGTACAGACATACACAGATTTAACAGCTAAATGTTATTCTTTCCTATATTCGTTGACGATTGCCGTTTACTGTGTTTCCGTACGTGACAGATTTTTAAAGGAAATGTGTATGATACTCGTCTGAAATACAAAAATTTGCAATTTCAGAATATCATTGAATAATATTATAGACTCCAACCTAACTATCAGTCTATTATTTTCAAAAAATATATATGTTATGTCTACATTTGAATTATAATATAATTTTCGATTACCTAGTAACTTACTGCTACCCGACGGCATGCCTGTTGAGCGCCAACGTGCCCGTTTCTTCATCAAGATCTATAAAGCCGACGGCCTCCCCAAGATGAACTACAGCCTCCTGGCTAATGTCAAGAGAGCCTTCACCGGCGAGAGTCAAGATCTCGTGGATCCCTACGTTGAAGTCAGCTTTGCTGGGATGACGGTAAGTAACATACTCGTACAATGTGTGATGGTATACCAAGAGTCAAATTGGTTTATTTGAATAAGACCAAAGACGGAACAAATTTTATAATAATAATCAAATCATTGAAATTATATATGTTGAAAGAAAAGTTATTTATTAAATGTAATACATACTGAGAGTATTTGATACTACTGACTGACAAAACTGGACTTATAATTCCCAATTATAAGTTTGAAATTGCCAACCCGTCTTGAGCAAGCGTGGTGATTAATGCTTAAACCTTCTCTATGTGAGACGAGGCCTTTTCTCAGCAGTGGGCTTTCATAGGCTGATGATGATGATAATTACATTCTATATATATAATGTTTTTGTATATGTAGTTGTTTAAGTTACAGAGTCTACATTACTACTGCGTCTGTAGCCTGCTGATATAAGGAAAGGATTGCAAAAGTGCTTTTTTGGTTCGCAGATTTTGTATAGAGTTTCTAATCTAGCAAAAGTTAATGATTTTGAAAATGCAACGATTCTATAAGCATATATGTATATGGAATCTGGATAATGTAAAAACAATTACATTTAAATCCTACGTCAGTGCAATCATTTATAACAAACCTATAAAAAAACGGGACTTTCTTGTAGGGAACCAAAAATAAGTTATTTATAATAATATGTGATACAATACTGTCAGATATTAATTATACTTCAAATCAGTTACTCAATTGATAACTTTTGGTCCATTTGACTTTTAATATAATGTGCATTTGTAAATCCACCAAAAGATGAAAATTAATAGAAACAAAAACCACATTCGGTTCGACATTCCTATTCATATTATGGAATAAGCTATGATTAATTTTGAAGCATTTCTGTTATTGAATCGTAATCATTACAACAATAAATGCAGTTAATGAAACCGTAATTAATTATTTAATAAAACGGATATCAAAGAGTTAAATTACAATACATAATGGAAAAACTGTCAATTTCTATGATAGACTTTTGATACAAGTTAAAATAAATGTTATTCATTCTGGATGATTAATTTAAAGTAATATAAAACAAAATTAACGCGATCTTCCAGGGATGTACATCAGTAAAAAAGAATTCCTACTCTCCAGTCTGGAACGAACAGATCGTATTCACTGAGATGTTTCCACCGCTGTGCCAACGTCTTAAGATACAACTAAAAGATGACGATGCCGTCCACCCTGGCATCATTGGCACTCACTTCATTGACTTGCAAACTATTTCCCACGAAGGCGACAGAGGTTTGTGTCACATAGCTTCTTATTTTGTCAATAAAAATGTTCTATATTGTTACCTAATATAAGTCAATTTTATTAGGTTTTTTGCCAACCTTCGGGCCAGCATACATCCACATGTACGGGTCCACTCGCGATTACAGTCTTTTGGACCAACATGCCAATCTGAATACCGGAATAGGAGAAGGTGTTTCCTATCGCGCGAGGTACTTACACTTATTATAACAGCTTTAAAGAAAATTATTACAGCTACTAAAAAACTCCATATCAAATTTAGAACACAAGTTGGAGTTACTTAACGTTTATATGACAAAGTTTGGAATACATGCGTAAACAGGATATTGATTGAAATGTAAAATATACTTCTTTATTGCAGACTACTCATTGCGATCCGAACTGAGATTATGGAGATAATAGAAAATCCCTCAACTGATGTAGAGGTTGAACCGATCGTAGCAGTAAATGAACATCTCTATGAAAAACACGAGGAGTTCTTTTTGTTCTCCTGCTTATTTGACGTGAACATGATCGATAAACGTCTCACTGATAAACCCATTCAGTTCGAGTTGAGCATTGGGAATGCTGGCAACGTCCTCGATGGGAATAAAGAATCCATGAGGAGACCCCAGGACTTAAATGTTCCAGACTTGAGTAAGCGATAACATTGCGTGACTTACAATAAACACAACCCATGCAGTAGCTGACAACTGTTTGTTTTGTTTAGATGATCTCAGCGCCGATTCAGGCTTCTGGCAGAGCGTTTCTCAGCCAACCAAAGCTATTTCATCTGACAAGAACTATTACTTTTTACCATACTGGGACTTGAAACAATGCATGCACGTACGCAGCATCTGGCCCGACCATCGCCGCCGCATGTACAACTCTAACATGATTTACAAGATTATCGAGCAATTTGTAAGCAATTCTATTATGATAAATTGATAACCAATGATATATGAAAGTTTGAAAGCAAAAATGAAAGTTTGAATGCAACTTTTCCATAATTTTTTTATTATTTCGTATGGGAACAAAAGTTAACAATTTGTTTTACAGGAGGAAGGTCTCGATAACGCACAAAATGCTGTTGAAACGGATGATGGACCAGACAGCAGCTGTGTCGCATACATGAAATCTGTTCTTGATTCAGTGAGTGCGTCATGCATCAACTACTTAGACCACATGGGCAATATGCCTATAGGAGGGGGCACAAAACTTGATCGTGAGAGGCATAAATTATGCCTAACAGAAATTGTAAGTTTGCTAATAATATAACAATATCTGCAAAATATTACCATCATAATTATTCTTTTTCTTACATTATAACTTTTCTAGGAGCAAATGAGCACTTTAACAAAGAGTCTTAAGGCTCTAGTAACTAAACATTCCATCAAGGATCGCATTCGTACCGCGTATACTTATCTGAATAGACTAAAACATTTGTGTGAAGACGTAAGTAATACGAGTAATGTTAGTAAAATTTTAATGGAGTCATTAACACTACATTGATGGGATTATTTAACTTTTAGCCACAACACGCGATGCCAGACGTTTTCATCTGGATGATAAGTAATGGGAAACGCCTGGCTTATCACAGATTCAGTGTCAGAGACTTAATCTTTTCGGAATCTATGGAGGAACGTGGAAAACTTTGTGGGAAAATGCAGACACTGTTTTTGAAGGTTTGTATAAAGAAAACTTATTTCACATTTAACTTAGAACGATTTTTCATAATTATAATTTAATTTTAGTGGCCGGGTAAAAAAGCTACATCTCCAAGCGGTTGGTCAATTCCCGCTAAAATTAACGTCTTCGTATGGCTTGGGACGTTACAAGATAAGAAACATTTCCTTGAGACTCTTCCAACTGGCTATGAACTTAGTCAAGAAGTTAAAAACGCAGATAAACCTAGAGCGCTTGCTCCTGAAACTTTATTCTACGCAGAGAAACATGTACGTATTATTTTTACACAGTAAGAATTCTTATATATTAAAGTAAATACACTGAAGCATTTAAAGTAATAATAACTGTATTCCTTACAGAATTTCCAAATGAGAGCATATATTTACCAAGCGCGTTCGTTGATTGGTTCAGACTCCTCAGGACTATCTGACCCTTTTGCGAGAGTTGTCATTGGTGACACTTCGGCTACTACACAAGTTATTGATGAAACATTAAGCCCCACCTGGGATGAGTTACTGGTGTTAGACGATATATTGCTTTATAGCACAATAGAGAAAATAAAATCCGATCCCCCGACAATTGTAATTGAAATATTCGATCAAGATAAAGTAGGAAAATCTGAATTTATTGGTCGGACTTTGGCCAAGCCGACAGTAAGAACTTACGAAGACATACGTGGTGGGCTACAGCCACCGCCCATTTTGGAGTGGCACGAAATTACTAGGGGTGATGATAAAGCTGGAGAATTATTAGCAACATTTGAAATTCTCGAGATTCCCCCAAAGGGAAATGCGTCAGTGTTACCGGCCCTGCCGGACCCAAAAGAAGTAGTTAGGAAAGAATTAAATGAAATTCAAAAAAGTAAATCGTATCCCGTTCCTCTAGGAATACGACCTACTTTGTCTAGATATCGAGTTGAAGTATTATTCTGGGGTTTACGTGATGTCAAAAGACTTCACCTTCTTACAGTAGACAGACCAAGAGTAGACATCGAATGTGCTGGAAATCTTGTATACTCGAGTGTTATCCAGAATGCTTCACGTAATCCCAATTTTCCATATCCCATAAAATATATTGATGTGGAACTTCCTGATCAAGATCTCTACAGACCTCCATTGACAATCCGAGTCGTTGACTGCCGCAGTTTTGGCAGAATCACCCTAGTGGGAACGCATACTATTAATTCCATACATAAATACATTTACACTCCAATGAGTAAACGCGAAAGAGAAATTGAAGAACGAAAGAAGTCTATCATAGAACTTCAGAATGTTGATTTGAGAACTAATCGAATAATACAAGATGACGCATATGCTGTCGAAACCGAAAGAGAAAACTGTCCTTTGCTTGTGCGTGAGGGACGTAGCATGACCTACGGATCAGGAATTAAGATGCCAATGAGGAAGAAAATTCTTCCACGTGATGGAAGCAAGAAGAGGAAGGGAAGTACCGATTCCGTTTTAGATGATGATGAGAGTAACAAGGACTGGTGGACTAAATACTTTGCTTCAGTTGAAACAATGATTGAAGATGAAAAAGAAAATAAACGAGAGCGAGATTATCTGAGACCTCCTCAGATTAGCTATGTAAATGAAATACGTTCACCACGCGACGAACTTGGCTCTCCTCGCTTCGATCGTGACCGTCGCAGGGACCCGCGCCCATCGACTTCACCGAGATCCAAGACAAGTCCATTGGTAGCACCAAAGAAGAACGAGATACCGCGCTCAGCTATGACAAAAGTAAAGCTAATTTTTGATTTGCGCATCACTTCACTCTGATCTGTTTATTAAATTTAATTAATTTTATGTAGGTTTATCCACACGAACTTGAAGCTGTACCTGAATATGAAGGGTTCAAAGAGTGGCTGAACTCATTTGAACTATATCGCGGCAAGAAAACTGGCGATGACAGCGAAGATGATAATCGAGTTGTTGGAGTATTTAAGGTTGTTATTTTATGTGGTCTTGTAATATTTTACAATCACTCATATGACTTTCACTATCTCATGTTTTCTGTGCTATCACACTACCATCTCTATTTATCTCATTGTGCGTTGATTCCTTTTGGTGTTGTTTCCTCATTCTCTCTGCTTTACATCTTACAAAAACCCTACACTTTCTGCTATCATTACAAATATTACCAAACTAAACTTTTTAAAGAGCAACTCTTGTTTTAGGGCGCCATTAAAGTTTACAAATGGCCTCTACCAAGAGGAATCGATGATCATACCATCATGGGCTTCGATCCCAATAATGGATTTTTCCAAGGTGTCCCGAATAACGATCCCATACATGTTTTAGTCCGCGTTTATATTGTTAAAGCCACTGATTTACATCCCATGGACTTAAATGGAAAAGCTGATCCTTATATTTCATTACAACTTGGTTCGAAAAAGATAAGCGACAAGGAGAATTATGTATCAAAACAACTAAACCCTGTTTTTGGCAAATGTTTTGAGATAGAAGCTACCTTCCCTCAAGATTCGATGCTTACAATTCAAGTTCTGGATTGGGATTTAGTAGGATCTGACGATTTGATCGGAGAGACCAAAATTGATCTCGAAAACCGTTTCTATAGTCGCCATAGGGCAACTTGTGGATTGCCTATGAAATATGAAGAGTGAGTTCTCTAACAATTATGTTAGTCAGATTAAATCCTAAACTTAGAATATACCTTGACGTCCCTTTTTTATTTTAGACAAGGGTACAACCGTTGGCGTGACGCTATGAAACCCACCCAGATTTTGGCAAAACTATGCAAAGATGGCAAGTTAGATCCACCCATTTATGACTATGGCCGGGTAAAAATTGGCAAAACAATTTTCAATATGCCAGTGAACGACGAAGAACTCTTTTCAAATAGCGACACAGCTGAGGAACAAATGGCACTGGTTGTTCTGCATCGTTGGCATGAGGTCCCTCGAGTGGGAACTCGTCTTGTAACTGAACATGTCGAGACTCGCTCGTTGTATAATCCCAATAAACCTGGTAATAATAGAAATTCATTAATGTAACGTCTTTAATATTTTTATACATACTAATGAATGACAATTTGAAATTAATTTAAATCATGCAACTTAACCTTCAAAACTTTTAAAATCCATTTTATGTATAGGAATTGAACAAGGACGTCTTGAAATGTGGGTGGACATGTTCCCCATGGATATGCCACTTCCAGGACCACCCGTTGACATATCTGCTCGCAAACCTAAATCTTTTGAAATGAGAGTCATTGTTTGGAATACTGATGACGTGGTTTTGGAAGACGATGCGTTCTTCACAGGAGAAAAGATGTCCGATATTTACGTAAAGGGGTATGAACATAAGTTTGTTTGCATTTTATTTCTTAAAATAACTTTAATTTCTAAACATATATTTAACTTTAAGGTGGGTACGTGGACCTGATGATTGCCAGTGCACTGACATACATTACCGCTCTCTGACCGGAGAAGGTAACTTTAACTGGCGCTTCATTTATCCCTTCGAATACCTGGAGGCTGAAGAACGTATTGTGATTTCTCGCAAGGAGTCTGTCTTCTCTTGGGATGAAACAGAATGTAAAATACCAGCCCGGCTCGAACTGCAAGTCTGGGATGCTGACCATTTCTCAGCTGATGATTTCTTAGGTAAAAACTTATAATGCTTTAAAAATGGTTTATAATTATAATTTCTGAAACAATAATTAATTATCACGACATCTTATATACTTACAGGAGCAATAACACTGGACTTGAATCGTTTCCCAAGAGGAGCTAAATCATCTAAACTATGTACTCTGGATATGCTACGAAACGATGGATCCGTGCCAATGGTTAACATTTTCAAACAGAAACGTGTCAAGGGCTGGTGGCCTTTCTATATTAAACGCGACACCGAAGAAATGGAATTGACTGGAAAGGTGGAAGCTGAAATTCATCTCTTGACTAAGGAAGAAGCAGAGAAAGTTCCAGCTGGATTGGGTCGCAGTGAACCAGATCCCTTGGAAAAACCAAAGTAAAGACGATACATATATGCTATTGTTTTTAAACTGTTGAGTTTCTCGCTAACATTTTATTAACATTCTATATTTACAATTTCAGTCGCCCTGACGCGTCCTTCATGTGGTTCCTGAACCCGCTGAAATCGATCCGTTACATCGTGTGGCACAACTACAAATGGGACATCTTGAAATACTCTCTCATCATTATTGTGGCCGTCATGCTCCTGTTGCTGGTGTACTCAGTTCCAGGATACACAGTGAAGAAGCTCCTCGGAGCCTAAATTTTTACGGATTAATTGAATAAACGCCAAAAACTACGACAAATACCCCGAAAATGATGATTACCCTGATAATGACGATAATGTCTGCTATGACGCTTATACCGATTATGACATTAATACCGGCAATTACATTAATAGTGATGGCACTAAACCCTATGATGACGAAAACACCGATTTTGACGAACCCAAAGATGACGACAAACCTGATCATGACGATGTTACTTATAATAATGATGTTTCAATTTAAATTAGCTGTAGTGAAAGTAGAAGTAGTCATGTTTCAATTATTACCATATTTAACCAATTTTAAAAATTTTACGTCAACATTCCAAAATATTCAATGTAATTGCATGCTACAATATATGATGTTTCACAAAGAATATAATCAATGTTTAAAATTATTATCTTCTCAATGTATCACATTTAATCAATATAATCTATCAAGTTATAAATGTAAACCATGTAATCAAATAAATTTAACGAATGTCATCAATGTTTTATTTAACAGTCCTTAGTAATAGGGGAAACTATTCTCTTCCAGGGGTTTAAAATTAATTAATCAACAAAAATACACAAAAAGGCACGAATTTAGACTTCCAAAAAATTGCACAATATTCAATAGTAATTAAGTAACATAACTCATGGACACTGTCAAGATCCTTGTCTGGGTTTTGGGCGAGTGAGACTAGGTAGTCAACAGCGACAGCGACGTCGCCGACGCCTACTCCGACGTCTTCGGCTGCATCGTCTACGCCGTCGTTTGCACCTACTTCTGCGTCTTCGTTTGCAACACATCTCTCTCGCAATCCAATTCATAAAACGAGATCCCTTCCTCTCGAGGAATCCAAGAGCTGTTCCGTTCTCTAAGATCGATTCCACCGTTTTGCTCAACTCGCTAGAAGATTGCTGACCGTGGTCGTTTTGTAGATGCTGTAATATCTGATTAGCGGTAGCTCCATCTTTGTTCTCTTGAAGATATTGTACTATGAGCCTTCCGGGGCATTGTGTTGTTGATTCCTTTGGCTGTTCTACTTCCGTCATGACTAAGGGGCACAATCAACTCAGTAAATTTTCATTACATGTAATAAAAAGAACAAAAATTTTACAAACAAATCATTTTCTTATCTTTTCCCCATAGTGTCTTCTATTGACATCTGAAGGCTGGCAAGGACCATTTAAATTTTGATATAGAATAAATTCTTCTTTTAAGTATGAGACAAGTTTTTAAGATATATTATTTGATGTATTTATTATTTGTTTTGCGTTTTTATACGAGTAATGATTGCTGAATAATTTCCATAATTAAATTGTCCTAAAATGGGACTAAATTTCTGATTCTGTAACATAAAATTCTCTTTCGCAAATCTTTAACCGAACATTTTCAAAATAAAAAGAATAAAAATCGCTGTCATAAGACAACAGACATTCTACAGTCATTCACCAGACATCAAAACGTTATGTTTTGTTATGATTCGTATTAGGAGATTTAAAATTAAATTGCAATGTAATAGTTCTACAGAAACATAATGACGAGCTACAATGTATTACAAAAGGAGCGTGACGAGAATGCTGCCAAGCTGGTTATGAACACGTTTTATAAAATAGACAACAAAGATGGAGTTACTGCATCTGAAATTACCAAGTACCTACAGGACAAATTCGGGGACGTGTGGAGGGCGAGCAATTTGACTGATAAAGCTGAAGATACATTAAAACGTAGTGCAGCCTTGGGATTCTTGGAGAGGCGAGGGGAGCGTTATATAGCTAACTTGGCCCGGGGGCTGTGTAGCTGGCGCAGACGACGCAGAAGATGTTGTCGAAAAAAACGGAGAAGACGCTGTAGTAGACGAAGAAGACGGAGAAGACGGGGAGGCTGCAAGTGTGGTTCATGATAACAATGATTTGGAAATAAATGTTTTTATATATACAACACTGGAGTTTAATTGAATCTGTGTTTGAAATATATTAGTGTAGAAGAACTTATTAAAGAATATATTTTTCTTTCATTAATCATCATCATCAGCCTATCAGAGTCCACTGCTGAGCAAAGACGTCTTCTCACATAGAGAAAGTTTAAGCATTAAACACCACGCTTGTCCCAAGGCGAGTTGGCGATTTCACTTATAATTTTTAATTATAAGTCCAGATTTCCTGACAAGTTTTCGTACACGTGTCTAAATACTCTTAGAAAGTATATATGACTCAGACAAATGACATAGGTTTCCTACTACATTAGTTAACGAGCTAGGTTTCCAAGCCGCGTCCTCATGCACGAGAGGCGGACCTTCACTGTAAAGCCAAGTATGTCACAAGATGAGCGTCTCAAATGAAAGTCGATGCGGTGGTCAAATATTTATTTAATCTCTAAACCATATTTACACATGTTTGAAACATACATTCATAAAGTAATCGAAACATTTAACATTGATTACTACCGGTTTACATAACTTTTATACGACTAACTACGTTACGACAGCGGGTTAACTAGATTTGAAATGAAAAACTGCCGGGACTCTGTACTATTAGCTCGATGGTATTATAAATATTAGTCTCTAGAGTCCGACGTTATTTTGAAACAAAGGCGACCTCGACACATGATTTATATCTGTTAATTTCATTAATTTAATCGCATTTGCTTCAATTTGTTTACGAACCGTAATTCCCGATCTAACTCACGACATATAGACTTCCAAAAAACATTTAAACACTAACTATTATATCTAATGATATCCCGAACATTAAACTTTTGAATCAATTACTATTGTTATTACACATATTATATTTTATAACATTTAAAATGTATTGAAACATCAATAGATTGTTGAAACTACATTAACCACTAAGTATATCAGACACATTTATAATATTGAATATTTTATTAAAATTGTTCACTATTGACATCGATTGCTACTTAAAAATCCACAGAGTTAAAACAAGTTAGACCAGGAAAGACGAATTCAAGATACAACACATGCAAAATTGTTAAAACCACATTATTACATTCAATAATAATAATATTTAAAATAAAAAAGGAAAATACATTTGATCTTGAATTTAATTCAGTACAATCTAGAAGCCAAACCATCCATAAAAAATAACGATTCTAAAACAAATCATTTACAAAAGGACAAACTCTTAAAATTATTAATTGTTTTTTAATAAAATAATAATAATTATAATATATCACTAATATATGACGCGCATCGCTACGGTCGGCCGAGCGACACATATATATATTTCATACACATTATATAAATATTGCAATACATTGGAAACTCTATAGGACTTTAAAACAACATGCACGACGAAATATTAGGATTCATGTGAACTTAAGTTAAATAAAACCGTCGCAGACCAGAAAATAATAATTAATAAAATTCTTTACAAAATAAGATCAATATAAAAACATATTTATATACAAACGATTGAACGTTGGATATACATAAAGAACTAACAAAATTCTTATAAATGTACATTAGTTACAGGCTACAGTTTAAAAACAACTATATCGTATGTACTGCGCAGTATAAAGCTAGCGTATTTATAGTATAACAATTCATATAATATGTAAGGAATTTTGTATCTGGCAAAACAATTGATATATTAAAATTATAAATAAAAAAAGTCCGCATACCAAAACGGCTTGGCATCACGAGTATTCAGTTAAAATAAAGGGATCACTAATTTGATAGACTAGACGAATATTGTTGACACTGAAATGGTTACATATATATATGTATGCATGCAAACAAACAATCACTATAACATTCAATATAATTAGTAAAAACATCTCTATTATATATGGGACAGGGTTCACTGTGACTTGTAAAGACTATATGGAGTTCATAAAATGCAACGTTCATCTTGTTCATATAAAACAATGGAATTAAAACTCTACGAATGAACAGTAAATATTATATATAACATTTGTATTGGAGCGGTTATATTGAACGAGTGAGTGAGTCAGGTCGTAGTAAGGTAGATACGGACCGACGAACATCCAATGGCAAATCTTATAAATGGCAAAGTCACTAAGTAGATCTACTTTAATACTACAATATAATTGATTATCGAATTAACATTGATATTGTTTAGACACCGACATTACTAACTATATAATATTGATCGATCCGGTAGAGGGCGCTGTCTGCAGAAGCGCAGTAACATATAGGCATCATGAACAGCGACAGTTCTCATAGTATTAACTCGACGTTCGTCGTGTTACGTGCATACTGTCGGTGTCAACGTGTCTGTCTATTCGATGAGCACGTGTACTAGTCACATGAGGTCAGCTCCGTGTCGCAGCCCGTGTGGAGGCCTGTCGTTATGTCCAGTGGTTTATGTCATACGATGTATAGCGTCTATAGTTAATGTACGCGTTTGAGCGTTCAATGAAATGAGATGTTGGTTTATTTTGAGGATAATTGGGGGTTAGTTGTGGATGGGGTTTATTGTTTCTTATTACGGTTGCGGCGCTTGGGTGTAGATGTTTTGGTGGTGCATGCGCGCGCTCGTTGTTGTGCTTTTGTGAGTCGTTTTTTTCTTTTGCGGGCTGCGGTCGGTCCGCGGGAGGCTTGATCTCAAACGGTGTCAATGTCTCCCACGTTGATCCTATCCTCGGAGGCCGTCACTGAGAAGCCAAGTATACGCGCGTCCACCTTCAACATCTTGTTCTTCTTTGATTTTTTGCCTTTCCCCTGAAATCATATCGCACATGCGAGCTTGAATATTCTATACGTAGACAAAAAGTTCTAACGCACACATACTTTATATGGCCAATAATCAAATACAAGTCTAAGTTTCATCTATCTTCTTCTTTGAATGAATTAATACTATTATTACCTCCTGGTAGTCGAGTGCGGCTCGTGGATTCACAGCCATAGCTGGTGAGCAGAGATCGTCAGAGGGAGTCACCATCCCGACACGCAGTAGTTTAGATCTAAATTAAAATATATTCATATTAATTTACAATTAAATATATATCAATCTATTATTCTATATAACAAACCGTTTCTCAAGGAACTGCCTCGCAAAATCGCTGGAGTCTTTGGACTCGCCCAAGTAGCATTTAACGTAGTCCTTCACCTCGTAGGGCGATTCGATGTCCTTCAGAAAGCCGACGAATGTTGGCACTGACGACATAACATATAATTCTCAGAACATCATAAAATAGAAAAATGAATTCTAGGCTTAGTAGTGAAGTACCATCAATCTTTGAGCTCCAAGAAGCGAGTGCTGTTTGGGACCAAGTATCAAATTCAGCGCAAGGAGAGGTCTCCTTTTTTGGCGAGGCGGCGACAGCCGGTTTCTTCTTCTTGCTAGTTTCGGGTCTGCTGTCTCTCGCTTTATCAGCAGCTTTCGAAGTATTCGGCTGTGTGTCCCAGAATCCTCCTGTGTTCAACACATCTGCTGGATTAGTTGTATCGTCAGTGATGAACAGATTTTAGTTAATCGTGTTCGTCAAACAGTTAGATGTTTAATGGAAAATAAATCAACACGTATCTTTTATACAGTTTATCCTCATTTCTATGTGAAAGGTGGCAAACGAGACGGCCTACTTTATGGGCAATACTCACCATCGCCACGACATGTGCAACATAAGAGATGTTGTGGATGCGTTGTACACATTGGTTTTTGAGGAAGAGGAAAAGGTGGGAACAGGGAAAAGGCAATGGTCTCTGTCACTCATCGAACGAAATACAACCATTAAAGGCTACTTCACGCCGATGTAGCCTTAAATGGCTGCGTTTCATCCTATGCTCAGAATTGTTATTTTTTTATTATCAGGATTCTTAACTTTTTTTGCTGAGCTTTTGCCCTCATAAGAATGTATGTGTCAGTGTGTTCGTGTGTGTGTGTTACCTCCATTCTGTGTATTGGCCCAGGGCGCCTGGCTGGCGGTAGTCAGAGTATCCTCCACAGGCATCGGTGGAGGATGAGCGGAAGCCGTTGCTTGGCGACGTGTCTCCGCCTGTTTTAAACGTCCACAACACAAAGATCAATTAGTGTGTTATAATCATGTGTCGATTGATTTGATATGTACGTTGCACAAACGGTCAACCTGAATATCAGCAAAGCTCTGGCTGGCTCCATTGTTGGGGCGGTCAATTTTCTTCTTGGTCCACGGAGGATTGTTCGCCTGCATCTCCTATGTGAACATAATATTTTATTACTGTAAACTGCTGTTACGACTCAGTGTGAACCTGTTTCCCCCAAATTTGTATGGCTACGGGTTTCAACTTACCTTCAAATGCTGTGTGCTTTAATAGGTATCTTAAAAAATCTTCAACGAATTATTCTGTTTTTTTTCTCGCCCAATGAGGTGAACGAATATACAATTAATTATAAATTCAATTATGCATATTTGAGAAAACCCTAATTGTACCTGTTGACGGTCACACCCAACAACATTGTATACCAGAAATCATCAAAACGTATCAAATAATAATCATCACAATGAAATGAATGTGACGAACACTTGTGAAAAGAAATCAAAATAATTGGGGATTCAGCAAATTAAACACTAAGTACAAAACCATACATGAAGTACATCAAATAGTAAGGCCAACGAAATAAAATAAATCTCGCAAATACACTGACTTGTACAGAGTTGTGTTGTTACAGCGACAGATATTAATCAGCCTGCTCTACACTCGCACGTAATAACATCCAACAACAGTTGTCGACGGAAGAAAGGAAGAGGTGTTGGCAAATAATAATAATAATAAATCATAATATACTGTGTGTATGTATGTGTAAAGTAATCACACTCAAAGTAAAACTCACACCAGAAATAATAGTGAACTGAAACACATTATATTCTGACGAAGATTGTAGACTAGTTGCTACGAACAGTATTTCACATGCTACGAAAAGTATCGTTGCTACGAAGGGTACATTTATTTATTCTGAACAGTACATTTGTAAATAAGTTAATTTTATAGTAGACAACCGTCTATTTCATGAGCATAGTTTCGTTGGACGTCCTTTTCCAACACATTCCTACATAACATAGTTAACATAGTAATATATAATAAATAAATATTTTGTAGAAATATTCTGCTTACGACTACTTTCCTCATATATTGTAGTAGTGCACAACAACATTGCCTTTTGACATTTTTACGTGGAGCATAGTTATAGTGTGTAACGAACGTACGAACGACTGATTGTTTTGGTTACGTTTTTTATCTCCTTTCGTTGGCCTTGCTATATGTGGTGTCCTTGTGACACTAACATTTATAACCTGTTCCCTGGCAGCGACGGCTGCCTGTTCCTGCGCCAGGAGTTGCACCATATGTTGTTGTTCCCTGATCTGTTCTAATTTCTTTTCTCTCTCCAAACGCTGTATCTCACCCAGAGGCAGTCCGTCACGCAACTGTCCTATCTGTTGTGCTGACCAGGGCGCCTTCTTTGTCTCAATGTTTCGTTGTGGATGTTCCTGTATATACATCGATTCCATTTTGGTCTGATATTTATATATCTTCCGTATCTCATACAGAGTGAGGAATCCAGACTACTGAACTACCCGATAAGCATAGTTTAGGTTGTAATTGATAATTTCTCAAACTTTATGATTAAAATAAGACAAATACCTAAGATACGTGTTAAATCCACGATCGTAAACTAAATAAGTTCAATCGTTACGGTAACATTACCTGCTGTTTTTTGGATTCAACTGTTTTCTTCTTTTTATCATCTTCGGGCACCAACTTCTCCTCGTCTTTCCTAAAGCATTTTACGAATTATTACAAGTCCCTATTAATTTTAATGATATTAATCATATGTAAGGACACAAACTTTTTACGTTCGGCTTCTTCAGCCGCCTTGGCTTCTTCCTGTTTCTTCTTATTTTCCTTTTTGCTTTCCTTCTCAGGGCCCTTCACAATAGTGAATCCTTCCTTGATCCATTCCTGTTCAAAAGCAATATCATTAATGTTAATGACTTCGTCGACGTAACACTCGTTATGTTATGTCGTAATTTTAGTCAAACCTTCTTCTCTTTTTCTAATTCCTTCCTATTCATTTTGTCCTCCTTCTTGCCTTTAGTCGGTGAAATTTCATGTGTGGTTTTCTGAAAAATCAACATAAAATCACAGTACATGTCCTAGCTGTTTATTGTATCTATAACAGATGTTATTATTACTTCTTTGTCATCCTCTTTGACTTTGTTCTCTTCCTCTTTCTTTTCTTCTTTGGCCTTTTGTTTCTTACTCTTTGTGGTAGTCTCTTTGTTTTTGGCCTTTTCATTCTCGTTCTTGGATTGCTTGGCAGCTTTTGTTTCGGCCTTTGTTGGTTGGGTCTTAGCAGCAGTTGTCTCAGTCGTGTTCTGTTCCTTCTTAGGCTTCTCGGGTTTAGCCTGCAAAGCGCCAGCAGCGGGAACATTAAATCGATAGCTACACTAATCTGAAACTCTACACAAAACATAATACTACCTCTCGCTCAACGCTAGAAGCTTTGATATCCCTCGGTTGAGGAGCGAGTTTTTCGCTTATCATCAACTTTTGCAGCTGTTTGAGATCCGGTGTCGAACTGACGTTCGTGGTATAAGACTCTTCACTCAAGGCCGTGGAGCTCGAGCTAGGGGTATCGTTCAGAAAGGGTGCCGGGTTGGGGAGGTTCTGGGAGGCCCGGAGCTGTGCGAGGATCTGATCCTCTGTTTTCATCTCCTTAGCTATTTCCTCGGGCAATAGGGCATTGGAAGATATAGCGGAGGATGGCTGTAATGGTAAGGGTTTTACTTTTAATATGCGGGTTTCCATTAATTGGTGGTTATTTAGGGCAGGAGTTTCCATACTGTGCGAGACGGTACGCAAAATCCAATTGAATATGATAATTCTATATAACTGCTCCATTACTATTAACAATGCATGTTCCTATGTGATTATTTATAAATGTGGTTAGTATGATTGTCGTTCTATCTGAACTGTGTCTAAGTTATGTTTTAGTCTGCTAGCCTCCACATGCAAACCATCTTATTGTTAAAGTGACCTAGCAGATGATCAGAAGCCTGTACAGGAAGCCAAATAAACAAAAATTCTTTTAATTAATAATTATTCAGTAACCTAAACGGGAACTTATTAAGAATATTTCAGCATTTTGGTTTGTTTTCGTATCCGACGCGTAAATACATAGAAACACTAATTGCCTTATTCCCATTTTTATTGTCCGTATATTCACGGCAGTCCTATATTTTTTTATTAAAAATACCTTCAAAGCCTTGCATCAATAGCGTGCAGCGTTTGAGCTTTATATGCGTGTGAGGCACAAAGCGCTTTTGAGCGGCAAGCGTTCCAGCTTTAAAGTATTGAGGTTTCGCGTGGGCGAGTGCCTCCTCTTTTATTGAGATGAACCGTGTTCATTTAAAAAAAAAAACAAATTAAAGCTGTGTTGGTGGATGAAACAAATGCTATCGAGAGAAAAATTCAAATCATTCCAGGTGGAAGATATGTAAAAATATTTAAACATGACATATATATTGCTGTACTAGTAACGGTATAGGTAAATCAATCACGTGACTGTGATAATTTTGCTAAAATACACTGAAAATTTATGTGCTTTCATAGATTTAAACATGCTGTATAGACAAACGGTACTTAATACCGATCCATTTAGAGGTAATATGATGAAGAGGGATTTGCTGCAGTATTATATGTGAGATTTTGTTGTATGTTTATATGTAATTTTCAAAACTATACATGAAATTCTGAGTGTAGGCACTCAGCTTAGTTGTTATACTGTTTATTGTACATATAATAGATCTCAGAAGATTTCACTATAAACACCATCTAATATATAAATAGATCTCAATATACAACAAGTATATGTTTATTATTTAGCACCTATATCAACATTATTGGAAATAGATTTATTTATTTAAACCACATATGTTGATGAAACTCTCCATTAAAGTGTAAAACCAAATCGGCTTATTAGCTAGAGCTTTGTGTTTGATGGACGTTAGCCTGTACTATGTACACATGTACGTATGTTTGTACTTCCCCGTATACAAATTGAATAGTGAGCCTGGGGCAGCTTTGTCGATTTCCAACAATAGATCGGACGCATGTATTGTTCGACTCAATATATGAGAGTAGTCTGATGTACGGATTTAATTAACACTTACTTTGAGAATTAAATACATTTTAATTTGAATAGGTTGAAGTATAATAATTAATTTAAACAAACTTATTATCTTTTTCAATATTCAGTACCATTGGTTAATAGTTATACGTATATACATATATATTGTTTATAAACATAGCAAACTTTCTTACTTCACATATTTTTCTGAACATTATCGATGGCGCACAACTTTACATACTTTAGAAAGTTGACAATCTTTGACATCAACAAAGAATTCCAAGCGTGATCCTGCCTACAATGTACAAAGAGCTTACAAGTATCGGATACTTCTATAATAACTTTCCTCGCGTAATATGAGATCCAGACAACTCAAGTATTTTGCAACGGTAATTCTATACTTGTCGAACAGTTGAATAGAAAAAGTAGGAGAGTCTTTAAGTTAATTTTTTCTACCGTTACTTATAAAAGAAATTATAGATATATCATTTATCTCTTTATATCTCGTCTAGTTTAGTTTTATTTTTATATGTTCAAAGACATTGAGTTTCTAACTAGAGTGCATGTAATGTGATGTATGCAGGTAGCTCTCTGTGTGTTTGTACCGTATCATGTTTAAATCTTTGTCTGCATCCGTCTGTACCACTGCCTTTGTCGTAACACTGAGATTGAGAGATCTTCTGTACTGTACTACGTCACACGACATAAATCACATTGTTCCTTACAAGTACTATCACGAATACAGTATACTCTACTTTGATAAACGATACTGTATTTCTTTATATATATTTGTGAAGTCGAGACATTAAATCTTCTTATATGTTCTTACTTATTCTACAATAATCTTTATTAACTGATGATTGGTCGTTTAAAAAAAAAATCTATAAAACCTAAAATGCTGACGTCATACGTTTTAATTAATATGCTTTAATCTACAGAGTTAAAAAAGAAAACTACCACCAGCACTGAATAAAAAAACGTGTTTCAATAAATAAAATCAATGATTATTATTATTTAATGAAAAGTCACTACCATCATTATACTTAGCTTAGCTTAGCTTAAAGTTCAACGTTCATTGGGTTAATTACAAAAGAATAGAAGCAAAGTATTCCTTTCTATTTGTACCTACGTTTGAATCAAAGAAGAATATTTACACAAACGTGAAGCAGCAATAAGTAAGCACTATAGTAAATATCTTTATACAAAAGCTTATGAGTGAAGCTCAGTGAGAGCAAATGATCACATAATTAAATTGTTACAACTTGTATATACACAGTCAAAGGCTATGCAGCAGTTGTGTGTAATATGTAATGGTATTGCAAGATTGTTATACTACAAGTGCTCATCATCTTAGTAGCGTCTTAAGAGCACATCATGAGATTCTCGGAACATTAATATGTATTGAAATGTTTGTTTTGTATATTAATATGATTCTGAGAACCACTTCGACTATAAGTTTTATACAAATTATTTTTCAACTTGCTACATATAAAGAATTGAAGGTGCTAGCATGCTTCAATTAAAGAAGTAGAAACCTTATAATTTTTCTAACTCATGTATATTAAAGAAAATCTATGTAGCCTTGTATATGTTAATGCAAAAGCATCGATGTTAGTAGATTAATAAAATAGCAAGATTTATTCACCATATATTTTATTAGAACAAAAATGAATATACAGCTTATAATATATAAAGCATGCGCAATGAAGATATATGTATATATGAGACAAACTTCGACCGTTTACACATCACTTATAAAACAGTAGCTATATATTAGTGATTTGAATCCTTCAACTGGGAAGAGAGTTGGTCTCGTCACATACTAACTCTTAACTAAACAATAACTAAAACATATCCCGTAGAGAGACGTCAAAGAAAGAAATATCACTAAGCTGTGGCGACAGCTCGATATAAAAACAAACATTATATATATAACGGTTAAAATAAACCTAAGGTAAGCCTATTATAAGAATCACAAAGACGCTTTGGCGACTGGGATGAAGAGATTGAGATGCAGCATCCCGACTACAACAAGTTATATGGGACGAACTTAATCATATAATCAGTCTTAAATATAACAGCCAAAATGAATCAGATTCATCGAGAATTTTTTAAACATATCAACGTTTTGAGTGATAAAAAAAACTTAATATTAACATAATAATATAACAAAAAACAAACAAACAAGGCAGCGATATCAGTTATCGTGTGATGTGCCGGACATCGAATAACACTATATATAAAAATAAAATAATAGATATTTTGATTACGATTTTATTGATTTATAATCGAATCATATTAAAAAACTACCTCTCTTAGATCAGTTAGTTGGAAAATTTAATTTCATTAGCATCGAACGTTATTAATCTTAGCAGATTTTAATATTATAAAATAGCTTTTAATATTATAAAATATTGCCACGGAAAATTTAATCGGATATTGATGAAAAGAATTTAATTATTACCCGTTGCAGCTTCCACGAGATGAGATTTTTCTTTATTCGTTATAATCTTAGACACGATCGCCGGCACATCATCATAAAGGGCCGGTTCCATAATAATACAAATAAAACATTTGTTTTATCAAACAATAACTTTATACTTAATGTACGTCACCTTAAAATGAATACATGCAAAATGAACTACTATTTACGAACGCGCCCTCTCTTTAGATAGGTAATAGGTATTTTTCAAATACTTTACAGAAGCGGCCCTAAATATGTAACATACTTCAGTAAGATCAAACTCAATCGTAGGTTAAATAATCAAAATAGTAGCACGCATATAGAAAAACAATGTCATAAAAACATAATCGAAAATGATCAAATTGACACACTTTGTTTTTAATACTAGTGGGGGGGCATTGTTTTTGATGCCGAGGCTGCCGCTTTTATGCATCCTGAAATATTTAAAAAAACAAACAATGACGTTACATGTGGTAAAAGTTTTATAATTACTTTGTAATATTATTCATTACACAAATATACAGAAAGTTCCACGAAGGAATCATGAATCGGCGTTCGGTTATGGGCTGGTAACTAGTCTAATGATGTAGGGCCACTCGCCTCACGGACGGAGGGCATATAAGCTCATGGGCTCTCTCTATAAGGAGCATTGCGAACATAATTGGGCGTCCATGGTCAATATAACATATAAAATTTCGCCCGAACATTGCAAACTACACCGACCGAATTTTACTGATTTTCAACTCTCTTAACCGATTATACGTGGCAATATAATATTATACATATATGTATATGTACGTGTTTCTATTGTAACTGTCACTGATATTTGTCGGAGATACCGAAGAAGAATTTAAAAATGTTTGATGCATTACAATTATGTCGTACTTATTTTACGGAAAAGTGACGCTAAGTTTAATAAATTAATATTTAAATATATAACGTTGTATGATATGGAATCTGTTCATATATAATAGGCTGTTATATTTAAGACAATTTTATTGCAAACTTCTTCATATATTTTAAAATAAAGGCTGTCGTCATTCATCAGACACATGAAATAGCAATCACCTCATATCGGTAAGGAAAATTCGAAAATTCTATAAGTGAATAAATATAAACAAATGCTGAAAACTATTTAAAGTGCAAGCAAATCCAATTCGCTTTGCAAAGACGAAAAAAATATTCATACATTGAAAATTAACCATCGAAATACTATATTAAAGTGTGCGAATAAGACAAAAAAGACTACAGCCGTATTAAAAACGCCAGCATCATTTGTCAATTTGATTGAGACTTATATTTCAATGAGCTGCATTTTCCAGACGAATCAGTATAAGTGATTCAAACAAATTTGTATTATATAATTAGTATATAACACGCACAGTCTACTTGAATACCTCTACAAATAGTTCTCGATCTGCATTATAATTCGGCATTCGGAATTCTCCTTGAAATCAGATTGCAATCTACAGGGAATTCTGTTTGTAATTAATTATACTTGACATCGCTGGATTGAATTTAACTCGATTATGTAATAACAATGTAATCTAATTGAGATGTTGAGATGTATCTAAATATAGATCAGAGAATTCAATAGTAACTACACGTCGAGTCAGAAATCACAGGAACAAAACTAACGTGAAACGAAAACAGTAACAGAGAGTATGACGGGAGGCAATAAAAATATCATCAAACTTTTGGTTCGTCCTACATTCCGTTTTATAAAAACCTTTGTTCTCCCGAAACTGAACGATGCAAATCTCTACGTGCAGATTTTTCGACGAAGTTTAATTATTTTTCACTAACTGGAATATACGAGATGGATAAAAGAATTTTTTTATACAGTCATAAAATAGTGAGAGTATGATAGCTGCAGCGTAAAACCAATTACCCCTTGCGGAATGATGTTCTGAAATTGCTTTACGGAAAGCAAATATTCATAAAAGTTTCCAAGGAATCATGAATACCCTTAGTAGTCCAGTCATTATAGTAAGTTCACCTCGGAATTCGAGATACCCAGCTGTAAGTCTGTAAATAGTTGTATATTGACACCCTAAAAGCTGTCTCAAAACCTACATATAGTAGGGTGTAAGCAACTACTAAATTTCATGGTCAAAGGTCACAAAAATCGGTTTTTTGCGCTTTTTTTGGAAATATCTCATTTCCTATGGGTTTTTTGCTATTTGTATTTATTATCAAAATTGTAGAATACTAAATTCTCTACAAATTTTGTTTCAAAAATTTTTTTATACGGTGTATCGTTTTCGAGATAGAAGGCGGAGAGCGCGCGGTCACCGCATCACTTCAGGTCAACCGGTGCCTCCGGTCGAAAACGCGCCATATATAGTTGATTAACTATCAATAAATCAATGATTATAAATATTGTATTAAATCTATATCTATTCAAACCTTATTGGCAGTCTATAATGCTCCGAAATCTGTGAAAAGTCTCGATCATCTTCGTTATACGCATTTCGTCAAGTCTACAAAACTTAATAAACCTGCTTTCAAATATTCCACCAACAAGTGCAGCTGCTCATCAACATTTCAACCGTGTATATTATCAAGTTCAAACTTGGTTAGGACATGATTTGGAACCCCAGGTATGGGGTTGGGCAATGCGAAATGATTTTCTGGAGCCTATCATGACAATTTTACCACCTGCTCCAGTCAATTTGCTAAATACAATTTTCTGCAACTGCAAAAGTGGTTGTGGTTCGCGATGCGGATGCAGGAAAGCGGGCTTGCAATGCTTTTTAGCTTGTGGCCAATGTAATGGGCAAGCTTGTCTCAATGCTCAACCATATCACAGCGACATTAACGAAGATGGAACCTTTAATCCCGAAATCATGGAAGAACTTGAGACAAATGTGCTTGAAGAAGATAATGAAGACCAGTTTGAAATTTACCAGCAGCCAGAAGACGACGATGAAGAGGAAGAAGATGTTTAAAATTATAAATTGTAGTTTTTGTACCCTTTATTCCATTTTTTTACTTTCAATAAAAAATAATTTATTCAATGATATTTTTTAATAAAAAGATTAATTTATAATTTATTTGTTTTTTTTTTTCATCATGTAAGAAGTTATTAATATTAATTAGGTTAAAATTCAAACATAATTCTTATATTTTCATTAACAATTCTGCAATTACATGGACAAGTAAGTGTTGTTAAATAAATTAATACTGAATAAAAAGTGGATAAGTTAGGAAAAAAATGATAAAATATAATATAATAGTTAATAAAAATTGACAAATATTTATAATCATTGATTTATTGATAGTTAATCAACTATATATGGCGCGTTTTCGACCGGAGGCACCGGTTGACCTGAAGTGATGCGGTGACCGCGCGCTCTCCGCCTTCTATCTCGAAAACGATACACTGTATAAAAAAATTTTTGAAACAAAATTTGTAGAGAATTTAGTATTCTACAATTTTGATTATAAATACAAATAGCAAAAAACCCATAGGAAATGAGATATTTCCAAAAAAAGCGCAAAAAACCGATTTTTGTGACCTTTGAACCTTGAAATTTAATAGTTGCTTACACCCTACCATATGTAGGTTTTGAGACAACTTTTAGGGTGTCAATATACAACTATTTACAGACTTACAGCTGGGTATCTCGAATTCCGAGATTCTTACCTAATTTAAGCTTAAATGACTGGACTATAGTTTAATGAAATAAATCTTCAGACTGGACAGACAATTATGGCACCCGTCACACATATAACTTGTCAAAGGTCCGCCTCATATAAAACTTTTCAATGAGAATTCTAGCTTTGAAAACTTCAAGTAAAACAGTTGGAGTGATAAAGTTTTAAATGTTTAAAGACAGATGAATTAACAAGCGGTCTGCTATTAAATTGAAACGAGGAAAAATTTTACTCAAAGGGATAGTTTAATAAAACTTTTATTGCATATAGCATGGATAGGTTTTTGAGTTATCCCGTTCAAGCATATAATTTGATATTAAACAATTGCAGTATTCTTTACGAATTAAGATTCACTGAAAGTAAATAATGTATTTTTTTATGTACGAAAAGAATTAATTTAGATATTCGATTGATTTTTGAAATATTTCCAGTAATATACACGATCTATGACTTATGTTGTTTTCCATATTAGAATGAGAGTTAAAACATATATACATATAATTTATTTTTTATCCCTCATGCCTAATACAAAGTGGACGCGTGAGGTCACCAGAGATCTATTATATGACCACACTTAGTTTAATATTAAGTACCTATCGCTTCCATATTTCTCACACTTTAGACGCTTGGTAAACAAGTTTAACAAAAACTGCAGATTATATGGTTTTTCATATTCTTAAAGAAACTAATTTCATGGAATTATTTTAACTGTTATTAGGTTCATATATCCGAAGCAGTTATTAGATAATAATGCCTAAAATATATCGTATTATCACCTCTAGAACTAAACCGTTCAATGTTCAATGAAGGAAAAAAATCTATAGAGTTATATGTTTGTAACAAACATATAAGTTTTTAAACTAATTTGGTTAGAAATATCCAAAAATATAATTTATATGATAAAGAAACTCATTGATTTAAAAAAAACATGTCTGTTATAAATTTATAGAGAAAATTTGTTTATATACTATGTATATACATATGTCTCGCTTTATGTAATGAACTATATATATAATACATACAATAAAAGCTAATACTGTTTCGCAATAGCAATGATTCACGGCCTCCCAATAGTTAAAGCATAGCAGAATATCTAATTCATTAAATTATTTCGCTAAGTGTTATGCTTTATATATATTTAGTTAGTTTATATACAGCTTAACTCGCAACCTATCCTATGGTACATGCAAAATCCTTAAACTGTTACTATAAACACAATTGCTGATGCTATGCAAAATTTATCTTTAAAATGTGATATGAAAGATTACTATATATTCTATACATGTCCCTATATGTCATTGTGTTATTGTAAGTTTAACGAGACGAGATAAACTTTATAAATAAATGTGACACAATGATGTGTGCCATATGTCATATTATGATTGATGTAAAGTGACGTTAAAAAAAATTGTTTTAAACAACCTGCCCTTGTTATGGCTAGGCGATATGTAGCTTGTGTATATATTTTAAGTCTTTCAATACCTATATACATCCACTTACATAGTAGTCATTGTATATTTATTAGGAATTTCATAAATTATTTGTCGCTGTATCTATTTCAACTTGTATGTGTGTGTGTGTGTGTACGCGTGTGTGTTCCATGTGTTGTCATACAAATAAATCATACAACAAAAGTGCTACATAAAACTCACAACGACTGCTACGGGGTATATAGCGGTTAGTTTGAAATCAGGCAGTTACAGATGTATCGATAGATTAAAATAAAATTATTAATAATTAAAATTAACAAAATAAAAGGGAATTCTGTGTAAATACAAAACGTATCATGATTCCTTTTGTGAAAGCAGACTGTTAGACGAAATTCGATGTTCATTCAAACATATTTTATTATAATCATTACTATTTATATACATAGGTGTTATATATAGTAAACAAACATCGAATTTCGAGATGACAGTCGTGTCATGAACTAACAGTAGCAAGTTGAGAGCCACATTATACTGAAACATTGAATTTATACATTCATAGTAAGTAGTGTCATATGACGTCATACATCTCAACCCAAACCGTTAAGTTCATCACACGATCGAATATGCGAGTGAGATAGCATGGTGCTCTTAAAAATCGCTACCTAAAAAAATTTTTATATCCTCAACTACTGAAAAGGTAATGTAGAATTGATGAGACGAATTTTGGAAAAACCACTCGTTGGATTTCATAGGGACGCGTTTCTTAAATTATTTGAGAGTCGCGTCTCTATGATGATGATGTGTTAGTTGTATCCACTTACCTGATCCCAGAAGAACATCGGCAGATTGTTGCCACGGTCGCGAGGCATCTGCTGCATCCACAACAAATCCTGATTGGTGGCCGGCTGACCCCACAGCGACTCCTGAGAAATACACCACCTTTAAGTCCCTATATAAACCAATATGAACCTATGTGCGATATACCCAAGCGTTTTGTGCATAATCCACAAAAAAATAAACGGAAAAAATAATGAGAATTCCTAAGAAATAAAATGAAAGAAACATATATGTCGTCGGTACAATAATAATAATATAACGGGCAACATAATCATAACATATTTGTCATAGTATAGGTACCATCTGACGCGGCTGTAAGCGTGGTGGGGGGATCCTGTACCGAGGTGGTTCAATACGATTCGTATTAAGCATATTCGGTTGCTCCTAAAATATATCAAACACTCTGTAGTTATACAAACACACGTCTACGTCATAGTAACATATAGAAAGAGGAAAAAATATACACATATATATATGTAATAATAATAATAAAATAAAACACATCAACACAGACCAGGTGTGGACCTGTAAGGGAGACCTGCGATGATGTTTGGCCAACCGTTACGATATTTTTATTATCTACCTTAGTATGAGCTTTCAAATAATTTACGCCCTAACATCTGACGTGAGTTTGTTCGCGAGTTTAATGATGTCGCTAGCAATGAACGGTGTTCGTCGCAGTATGCAGTATGTACAAACGTCCAATTGTTCCTATATTAATATATATGTTTATACCTAGTATGTTATATAATATATATGAGTAAATATCCGCTCGCGTCGTTCTGTTCTGGAACGGTCATCCCTGGTCTCCCGTACACTAAGACAGCATGCTTCGGAATCTAATATAACGCTATATAAAGATATATATAAAGGTATACAATATATTAAACAACATCCTGTTATTACCATGAAGTAGTGAGGATAGTGCGGTGGCACTTGTAGAGGCATGAATGGCTCGGTCGCTAAATGTATGTTAGTGACATTGGTTTTAAACGCACCCTAGAACGTGGAAACCGATTGTAGTCAACATATAAACATATTAAACTATTATCATACATACATATATGTTACGTGTAAATAACACGACCAGACGGTGTGAATGCGGTTGGAATCTGATCGTTTTACTTACACACGGTAACAAATATAACAATTGGTTAACATATTAGTTAGTTAGACATATCAGAGTCTACCCTAAAGCTATTCTGTTGCTGTACATTTAACTACAACCCAAACCTAATCTACTTCTCGTTATAATAAGTCTTAAACAGTTTATAAAACACAAAGAATTCATTGTTTCCACATATTACCCAGCCGGTTCAAAGCTCTAAGCGTTTTGTTATATGAACTCTGTTTAATGCAGATGCCGTCGGGTCGCGTCAAAGGAACGTCGGTACCGCGATGTTCACTCCTCCTCACGTGAATCAAATATCAAAGTTATATTCTACAAGGCGTATCACTTCGCTCGTTTTTTTTTATATTCGCTGAATTTAATACGTGTAAAGTCGCGTTTTATTTCATAACTAGGGAATTAGAAAATTTCGTTTCATAGTTTCCCATTTTTTTTTATCAATACAGTGCAAAGAAAATATTTAATTCAAATAAGACTTACTTCCATAGTGAGAGCCGGCTGCTGATTTAGCATTTCATGATTTTGGGGTCGAGGTTCGAATCCAGTTATCGGATATGGTGGTAGTACCTCCTAAAATTTGAAATTCTGTTTACAATCACGCTCAATGACCTCATGTTTCATAGACAATACATCCTCAATAAAAACAGCCGATCCATTTAACGACTTTCATATAATTAGCTGATTATTTAAATTTAATTATTGATGTATGTACATCTTGTTGTGGAATTACTATGGAGCTACAAGCATGGGCATGCGAGCTGTGGAACATTGAATAGGCGACACGCACGAACGGACAGAAAGTGAAACATAATTTAATATATAAATATATGTATATATAAAGAAAAATCGACGCATGATACAACTCCAAGTTCAACAATAATAACGATCACTTTGCATTCGACCTGCAAAACGTGAATTGCAGTTATAAAGATACGTAAAAAATATCGAAGACTAATAACTACGGCTTAAGATTCTATAAGTACTGCCTCTGAGATGATTTAGATAAAATAGGAGAGGAAACATGCTTACGGAACAAAAATATATAAAGTTTAGTAACAAAGGAAAGAGGAGAGAAAATTAGTTACGAGGTGACTGATCAAACTGTGTTGGAGAGCAAATATTAACTGACATTTGAATTTCATATTATAAGTATAACTTGTTAGAATCAATTCATTAGTAGGAAAAACCTGGGACAAGGTGTAAGCGTATAAACGACGAGTTTAGCGTCCAACGTGTTACTGGATATTACCATCCTACCACCAGTGTCATGTCTGAGAACACGACCATTAGTTAAAATCATTTATCATGTGCTCTTTACAAACAAAAAACGGAATAGAAACGCCCAGAAAAACTGTTCACGAGAATAGTCAAAACATTTCAATGGATCGATCAAAAAAACCCGGCCAAGCTGCAAAGAAACATATATACAGGGACGTGAGTGATAGGTACCTATATTATCGATTGAAGGTATATATAAATATATATAATTGTTAATACTGATTAACAAGCGTTAGCACCAGCGTATACGAGTGGTCGATAGCCGGCTGCCGGGACACCTGTAAGTTGGTTGGTTGGTGAATCAAATCGCATAGCTAACATAAGATGAACTCACCACTTGCGCGAAAGGTACCACCGGCCCGTACGATCCTAACGGACGCATATGAGTTTCGCAGGCCCTACGCACCATCAGGCTGGGGCTAAAGAAACCCGCCCTATACCAGCTGTACATCTCCTTAGACGAGAATGGACCCTGGACTACTTTCTGAAACAAGATAATTTCACAGAAATCACTTAGTGGGGTCCATCTGTGACTCCACTGCTGAAGAATGCCAACTCCTCAAACGAATCCGAGCATTTGTCCATCGGAAACTTCGAGTCAAAATTCACCACATCTTCATACATCCCAACAATCTTCTGGTCTAACCGTCACCCTAGGTTTACTTAACTACGTTACTTGTACTACTTGTTCTAACTGTATATTTCATAATAATAATGCTACTAGATACTACTGTATATTACATAACTGGAACAGTAGATCGCGTTCCGTAATAAATACACATTGTGCCAGCATTGGAACCTGTTTATAATTTAACAACTAACCTCCAGGATATTCTTGTGTCGATCAATAAGGTATTGAACATACGTTACTCTATAACTACGGTCACCAATGCAGAGCACATGATAAATATTATTACTCATTTTCATTCAGACCATTTCTATGTTATAATATATTAAGTACGTAGTTGTTTATGGCGAATTTCTTTAGTTATACTTTATTCTGTCTTAATCTTCCCCCCTTTTTGACTTTATGTTATGCTAGTCCCAAGCGTGTAATATTTGTTTTGACACACATCTTAGAATAAAATCTTAAAATGGGAATCAGTAACTCTGAATAGAAAACGAGACAAGTTTTTTTTTGGGTGGCCCTTGAGCCTTGTAATATGTTATAGTTTGTATAATTAGGCCACATTATGTGACATATTTTTAATTTAAATAGCAAAGATTTTCCTAGCATTCTAGCATCGAAGCCAACACTGCTAGTCCTACCTAAGGATTGTTGCTTAGTTGAGTAAGAATACATACAAGAAAATAAAAAAAACGAAAAGGTTTATCTATATACTAAATGCAGCTACTACATACATGATCGTTCGAGCCATGCATTCAGCTACGTATGTACTTACTTTGGGGTCTTCATAATACCACTGATCGGCCATGTTGGTGCCCATGTTACCACCGATGTTAGCACCGATGCTGGCGTTCAGGTTATTCCCGATATTACCGCCGAGATTACCGCCAATCGTCCCTCCAATGGCGCCGCCAATGTTGCCAATAATGTTACTTCCAATATTGCTTCCGATGTTTCCAGCAATGTTAGCGCCAATATTTCCACCTATATTACCGGCAATATTACCGCCGATGTTTCCGCCAATGTTCCCGCCAATGTTTGCGCCAATGTTCCCGCCAATGTTGCTACCCATATTGGCTGCGATGTTGCTCCCGATATTTCCAGCCATATTGGTATTCATGTTGGCACCGAGACTGTTTGGCATGTTAGCGCCGATGTTAGTCGACATGTTGCCCCCAATATTTGTCGGCGGCAAAATGTTTCCGTAGATGGAGCTGAACGCGGGGTTGCCGTGTTGCATCCCATGCATCGGGAACAAGTTGCTCTGAGCAGTGTGTGTCGATATCTGCATATCGCCGCTTTGTAGTTGCTATTACAATTAAATTGTGATTTTATTGGAGGAGACGTAATTTAGATTAATACGAAGGAATAAAATAAAAACCAAACAATACCTGAGAGTTATTTTGTCCCATGAATAGTGAATTATTAGCGACGTTGGGACTCGGCATTACCGGTAGTCCGGCATTCTGTTGGAAGGCTCCAATAACGCGGGCTTGCATGGCCGTACCCATAGCGGGGTTCAGAGTATTCATGATTGGTGGTAGCAGTCCTTGCATGGGCAGGCCGTGAGCGTTTCCTGGAGCCATGTTCAGTCCCAGTGAAGAGTTGAGTGCTTGGTTGGGGATGCCAACATTCTGTATCCCTTGTCCCGCGTTGAGAACCATCCCTTGCTGCGGCACCGCGGGGCTCGCTATACGCAGCAGCTGGCTTTGATTCATCATTTCCGATGCGATGGCGCCGGGCTGGTGAGCTGGATTGGGACGAATGCGTCCGTCCTCCAATGTCAGGTCCATGAGATCTTCGACGATCTTTTCCTCGTTGGTTTTAGAAGTTTCCCTAAAAATCAAAACTTAACATAGATACGAATCCCTAAAAGTAATAAAAGTGTGATAGTTGGTAACATACTCTTCAGGGTTCTGCTCGCCCATTTGCCTTCCGTGTAGCATCTGCAACAGGCCGGATGCGTTCATCTGTTGCCGGCTCATGGCGGACTCGTTGCTCGTCACTATATTCTGATGTTTCTGCCTCAGGCTGTTGTTGGAATTGAGCATGACGGACTGGAAGTTTCCTTTGTCTTCGTTGGGCTCGGTGTATTCTATATCTGATCTCATAAACGCGTCAAACGTCTTACTATCCGAGAGCTTTTGCCTCAGATCATTCTGTTTCTGCTCGTCAGTAATTGCCTGTGTGTTACTCGCGTCCGTTTCAGGTTCCGTCGTGTCTACAGTCTCCGATGATTCAAGATCGTTAGTCTTTTCCGTGTTATCCGTCCGTTTGACACTACCCGCTCCACCGCTGACTTCGTCTGTCCCAGTACTCAATGACTGAAAGGGAATTATCTAATAAGAACGACTACGTCTACCTACATGAAGATAAATAAAAAAATCTCACCTTTTTATATCTACTATCGCCAGCCTCAAACCTTTTCGGTGATAGCTTCTTAGCTTTCTCCGAAGCCCACCACTCTTCAGAGCCTTCTTCGACGGTTTTAGAGCGCGCAATACTACCACCGTGAGTATGCGACCTAGTCAACGCTGAACAAAAAAATGACCGTATGTACACATAGAATATTACAAGCTTTACATCAATATATAATATTGTGATCGTTATCGTTCTTGTTTTAATATGTTACACCAAACATGTGCTGCATCACGTAAAGAGCTTATTGGATGCGATCAAATAAACCTAAAATGTTTTATGCTAACGTCAACTGTTTGCTCAGTGTGACGGTATACGTTTTAAAGAGATTTAAAACTGAATGTTTGAAATTTAATATTATATCCATTTTGTACGTTTACATTTACTGTAAAGTACGCATGAATGATATTATATAAAATATATCCTATCAAATTTACTTTTAAATAATATTCTATTAGAGAATCCGATACCTACAAAGTGAAATTTATATAAAAAACACAAAACCATCTCAACTTTTATCCTACATAAACTATTTTAATACCAAGTGAAGCATTTTAATATAAATTAATATTCTCCGAGCTTTAAATTAGAAAAATAAAATTGCAAAATTCTTTATTAATCTCTTAGAGCTATTTTTTAATCTTGTTCTCAATTTTTATCGTAGTTAATTAGACAACCTAGGATATTATTTTCTGCAGAGATATTGTTATATACCGTCGTACTACTCGTATTTCTTGGTTTATTTGTATCTTTTATACACAGTGTGTACTCGGACTTTTGATTACTTTTCATTACAGAGCACATTCAATATTAAATCCATTTCATTATTATGAAATGGTTAATGTTAATTTATCAACTACTTACATATATTACTTAATAAATTCGTTGTTACTATACAATTTCTCTGATATATTTATTTCCGCTTTGACCATTACAATATTGGTTTAATTATAATTTATGTATATTTATTTGTATAAGAGGATATACAGATCGATTTTGCATAAAACTTTAACTGTCATGATAATATATTAAAAGTGAATTTTATTTCACACTTAAATGAGACTAATATTGCTAGTATTGCAAAAAAATCAAAAAGTCCTTTACAAGTAAATTAACAGTCTGAATGCATATATAATGAAGTGTATGCATGTATACAGGGTGACGGGTGAATTACTATCGATACTTGAGGACGTGATATTTGACGATCATATATGACAAAATAAAAATTAATAAAACATAAATATTAATAAACTTCTAAGTAAAGTTAACCAAAAGTTATGTAATTAATTACGCATCGTGTGAACACCCTACAGATTAGGTATACACACACACTCATACATACGCGTTTGGCGGCGTGGTGTTGTATCAGCACGCCGCCGCACGCGTCCACACTTGGAACACTTGGAACGTGTCAACACTTTATTTATTTATACGGAAATTTTGTCAAAAATTAAGTGCCAATTTTTATTACATAATTCGAATGAGAATCATGTACCGAGTATTCTCCTTAAATATTGATAGTAATTCACCAGTCACCCTGTATATAAGTACTCACGGTAAGTAGACTCCTGTGATTTTGGTATGTTTGTATCGTCGTTGCTATACCCGTGGAAGGCTCCCGAGGAGTCGAAGGTTCCAGCACCAGCCTCTGCACTATCCACCGCCCTGACATATACATACATATAAATATATATACATTCAACATAAAACTACTATAGAGAAAATGAAGAAATTACATCGCTGCAAGATTTCTATCAGGAAAATGTTTTTCTAATTTTATTATTACGTTTTAAATTACGACTCAGTAGTTACGGACGCACAAAGGAAAATAATTTATTTTTTATTTTTGCCTTAACAGCATTCTGAAAAGGAGTACTTTTTTAATAAGCTGCATTTCCTCTTATTTTCTTTTTAACTTGAACTCGAGCCGATGTACGACACCCCAGGACTTAATTCAATCATAAATTTTTGATACCAACGTATTTTCAGTTTGCGCAGGTTAGGAGCGGGATCTAAATTAATTTCAAAGCTAACGAGAAAATATGTAAGTCAATTACGTTGAGCCGTTACAGGAAAACTATATATCCGTTAGGGAGCAGTTGACTTTAACGCGTACAAATTGAATCAATATCAACATCAACCTATCAGAGACAACTGCTGAGCAAAGGCCTCTTCCCACATGGAGAAGGTTAGAGCATTAATCACCACGCTTGCTCGAGGCGGGTTGGTGATTTAAACTTATAATTTGAAATTATTAGTCCAGGTTTCCTTCATCATCAGTCAGTGGTTTCAAAGTACTCTTTGAAAGGACATATGACTCGCAAAAATGAAATTGGTACTTGTTAGGTTTCGAACCCGCGCCCTCTTACATGAGGATGCGAGCCTTTAACCACTAGGCCACCACGACTTAGAGTCTATCCTACTAATAATTTAATTGCGAAAGTTTGTGTGTGTATGTTTGTTACTTCTTCACGCTCAAACGGCTGAACCGATTTTGTAAAAATTTTGTATACAGGAAGCTGACGTCCAGGAATAACACATAGGCTACTTTACAATACAATAGGGTAACACCGCGGGGGGCAGCTAGTATATTATAATAGTATATATTTACCACTCCGGCAGGTTATCTTCGTTAGTAGAGTCACCGGGCCACTGTCTCCGGCTGGGTGCCCAGGACTGCGGCCTCTCGCCGGACGGCCGGTCGCTCCAATCACGGTCTGAATTAAAACCTACGAGTTACTTCTTTTATTTATTATCCTTTGAACACACTCGCTACACCTCCACCAGACATGTGCGAGGCGAGTCTCCATATTAATAGCCGATAATATTAGTTACGCAGCACCAAAATGAGTTAACATTTTTGTCATCACATGACGCTCCTGAAGCATCAGTTTTTGTTTGCATCGCACAGCTCCAGTGGAAGATATACCATGACCGTGGTGCGGATCAGTCAGAAAAATTATCTTCTGTTTCGTTAACAACCAAAGATGCCAGCCACTTAAATTGAACCATGTCTTATAAACACGAATCGTTATACTATCTTGTAAATATATTTTTAATTCAGGAACGTTCTTAAATGAAAACCACGGTCATGGTATAAACAAAGTTGGAGCAGAATTCTTTTAGGTTAGTATAAGGATTTCAATTTAATTAATTCCATAACCGTTTGAGCAATTGTAGCTGTGTATGCGGGGGTGTTTAAAACTTCGAGAAATAAACTTATTTCCAATCCAACGATTTATATTTCGTGTACTTTGATAGGCAAAGAATTCTGCCCCTTTTTACATACTTTGTAATATTTCAACTCACCCCATTTATCAACACTAGAACGATTGGGAGGTCTGGAATTTTCCTGACGCCACTCGTCACCTTCGTCCCGAGACGTCTGCCTCCAATTAGTATTATTTGCTTGTCGCCTACGAAGAAATAACTGTTTCAATTCTACATATGCGATGGTTTATACACAACACAAGTTTGAAATCCTGCTAAACCTTAATTGTTCCTAAAGCAGAATATAAAATGTACTATTTGATAATGATACGTTTTAGATTTTACATTCTAGTGTATGTGTAAAGTACAAAAATTCACCAAACATTATAATTACAATGATTTATTCCTCTAGAGAATTCTTCACATTATAAAGACGACACATTGGAAATCTTGATTAAAAAGCAATCATCTTACTATCTAAATATTTAATCTAAAACATATACACGTGAATAAAAGATATGTTCGTGAGTTCAATTCTAGATCGATCGACGTATTTTTACATTTGTGATGGCTTAATTGGTATCTTTGGAAGTATAAAAATACAGGGAGCAACTTGTGATGAGGTCTTGATTCGTCAGTTCCTCAAGGTCCAGAGAAGCTCCAAAGGATGCATCATTGATGAAACTCAGAAAGAACAGATAATTGGACTTCTAGGAGACTCGGCCGAGTCAATCTATGAAGAAGCTAGAAGGATCGTTGGGCTCCTACAAAAAAGGCAACTCGCCGAGGAATAGTCGGTCTTGTAAAGCTACACCGTTTAGAAAAACCCGACACATGACATTTCAGTTAACGAAGCCCACTAACTCTCAAAGACATGGCCAACAAAGCATCTATCCCCTTGATATCTTCTGTCTTAAACGAAATAAAGCTCCAGTTCGAAGAAGAACTTAATCCAGACGACCCAAAACTAACTATTATCCATTCGATAACCCCGGAGCAATTACATTCATCAGGGATGATTAAATCAACATCCAAAGCAAAAATTAAAGGCTCTATTCTAGAATACATCACAAGTTATGTACAAGTCAGGCGTGGGAGGTCCAGACCCCCGTCAGGAAACGATATGTCTGCAGCACTAAGAAGAGATGCCGGCATAACACCACACCCTCACGAGAATGTCGCGTCGACTTCCGCTCCAAGAGAATCTCATGCTACAACACGAACCACTGAGATTAGCATTCCTTTAAACAGGGCGGCTGCCTCGGACAGTCCAGAAAACGAAGACGTATTTGACGACGAACTCGAAGAGGACCCGACCCAAACAGAGCTATCACAGAGGTACCCAGCACTTCCGCGGACTCCGTGCCCAAAAAACTTATTTATAGGAAACATGTTATACTCTTATTTGAACAACCTCTACTCCACCGATCGGCACTTGTACCCCAAAAGATGGAATAACTTGAAGAAGAATGACCCTGACCAGGCCTGGCATTCCCTTAACCGGACTATGGTTACTTTTTTCAATAGCCGATGGAAAAACCAAGGGGTACAATTAGAAATGGGTGAGACTCCGGTAGACTCCATGAGTTACCATGACTTAAAATTGTCAATAGTTCAAACTATAACAGAGGCTCATGCGGCACAAGGAGCCAATTCCACTCCCGCCCCCACTTCAGGCTCCACTCCCAGTCTGGGAACCGACTCCATAATGAGACTAGAGAGGAGTATAGGCCGATTAGAGGAAGCTGCTCGAGTCTTAACGTCCCATACTACCAAAGTAACAGGAAGAGAGATATCATCTTCAACTCCTCAACCACTATCTCAGCCCCAACTCACTGGCTTTCCCTCCACATCAGGACCCCAGAAGCGACCGCATGAATCGGACAGCGAAGAAGAAGTTTTAGTTGGATGACGACCGATCAATTCTCTATCTAGTTTAGAAAAAACCGACAAGTGACATAAACTTCGAAGAGGACTCCACGACCCTACGTGTCAAGATGAAGGTCTTCGCTCCACTCTTGACTTTGCTCCTTCTTCTCTTCTCGTTATTACCCGTCCACTCCTCTTCTGATTCAGAGCGGATCGGTGGTCAAAGAGGAAGTGATCCCATAATCATTGAAAATTCAGCTCCAATTCTACGAGGCGCCCTTGTTGATCAATATAATGGCCAGGCCTTAATCATAAGATTCAAGTCACCTAGCGACATTATTAAGGACTCAATAACGAACCTAGCCTTTGACAAGATGGACCCCAAAACAGCTCAGGACTTGTGGTTAAAGAACTTTATTTATCTCTCATAAAGAACAATGTTCACTTGAATGAGATGTAAAACACAATTCAATTCAAACAACAATTCAGTACAGTAGCAACGAACCATAGAACTCAAGAGCGGTTAATCCAAGTGCTCCCTACAATAATCCAATAGTTTCCTCCTAAAAATCACAAACGTTTTTTCATCAAACACTTCGTCAGGCAAGCCATTATATAGTTTCGCTCCCTCAAACTGTATACTTTTAATTCCATATTTGGTCCTGGTCTTGGGTAATTCAAGTTTGTGTTTATGTCTCGTGTTATGTTTGTATGTTTTAGTTTTAAATGTTATTTGTGTGTGTATTGATTTCGTAAGAATTTTTCTAATTAATATGCATGTTTTATATTTATATAACTGGTTAATTGATAATATATTTGTACGTTTATATAATTCCTCAGTTGACATGTGATAATCTAAATGGAACAAAGTTTTTATTAATTTATTTTGCGAAATTTGAAGATCCTTTATATTAGTTTTAGATGCACTTCCCCAAATCTCAACAAGATATTCCAATAAAGGTTTTATTAGTGAGTTATATATTATAATACGAATCTTGTGTGGTATACAACGTGATGATCTACGTATAGCTCCAGTAAGTGAGGTTATTTTTCTTTGTATATAATCTAAATGTGCATACCATGTTAGTTTCGGGTCTAGGATCAGGCCTAGATATTTTTCTTGATTTGATTGTTGGATAGTCAGGTTATTTATTGTTAATGGAGTGAAATTTGGAATTTTCTTATTTTTTGCATGAAAAAGCATGAAAGAGGTTTTTTCAATATTTATAGTGAGTAAATTATATTGAAACCATTCGTGTAGTTTATCTAAATCGTTCTGTGCTTTTACTAATAGACGTTCTATAGAATCCTCAAAGTAAAACAAACAAGTGTCGTCTGCATACAGCGATACTTCCCCAAATAATCCTAGGTTACTAATATCATTTATATATATTAAAAATAGCAAAGGCCCTAAAATGGATCCCTGCGGAATGCCATAAGTTATAAGTTTTGGTGTACTTTTAGTATTTTCAATCTTAACTATTTGTTGTCTATTTGTAAGGTATGATGTAAGTAATTTTAAAGCTGATCCATAAATACCAATACTGCTTAATTTATTTATCAAAATAGTATGAGACACGGTATCGAAAGCTTTTTTTAAGTCTATAAATATACCTAAAACTAATTTCTTTTGATCAATATTATTTTTTATTTTAGTAACTAAATCGATTGTTGCAGATAATGTATTACAGTTTTTCCGAAAACCATATTGCTGTTGGAAAAAAAAATCAATGTCATTAAGATAATTATTCAGACGTACATGTATTACTTTTTCAAATACCTTCGATAAAGCTGGTAGAACAGATATCGGACGGTAGTTTCCAGGATCAGATTTACAACCTGATTTATAAATGGGACCGACTTTTGCTATTTTTAGGGAATCAGGAAATACTCCTTCTTTTATACACTTATTAATACAATGGCTTAAATCTTCACACAGTATTCTGTTAATACATTTTAATGATTTTATTGTGATATTGTCTATACCTGAGCTAGAATTAGCATTTAAATTTTTAATAATTGTTTGAATTTCAGTTTTCGTGGTTTGCTTAAACTCATTAAATCTGTATGGGTGTCTTTGTGTATGTGTTATGTATGCTGTTGTTTTGTGATATTTCTGTGGTATATTATTTGCCAAGATTGGACCAATAGAAGAAAAGTAAATGTTAAAAGACTCACATATGCCTTGAAGATCACCAATAGTTTTATCATCTATTATTAGTTTTGAGGGAACAACACTATTTTTATTCTTATTACTAGCTAAACTGTGAATTAAGTTCCACATCCGTCTTGGTTTGTTGTATGTTTTCATAAAAGCATCAAAATAGTAACCGTCTTTGGTATTTTTTATGAGAGTTCGAACATGGTTTCTTGCGCAAATAAAGTCATTATTTAAAGCCGTGTTATTACGGTCTTTCTTTAAATCTCTCCATAACTGATTCCGTTTGCTTATTTCATTAATAATGTTTTTATTTATCCAGTCTTCTTGAGGTAAATTTTGTATTTTGTACTTTATTATTTTGTGGCTCTCAATTTCAGTTTTAATATAGTTTTCTAAAACGCCAAAATAAAACATATACACGTGAATAAAAGATATGTTCGTGAGTTCAATTCTAGATCGATCGACGTATTTTTACTTTTGTGATGGCTTAATTGGTATCTTTGGAAGTATAAAAATACAGGGAGCAACTTGTGATGAGGTCTTGATTCGTCAGTTCCTCAAGGTCCAGAGAAGCTCCAAAGGATGCATCATTGATGAAACTCAGAAAGAACAGATAATTGGACTTCTAGGAGACTCGGCCGAGTCAATCTATGAAGAAGCTAGAAGGATCGTTGGGCTCCTACAAAAAAGGCAACTCGCCGAGGAATAGTCGGTCTTGTAAAGCTACACCGTTTAGAAAAACCCGACACATGACATTTCAGTTAACGAAGCCCACTAACTCTCAAAGACATGGCCAACAAAGCATCTATCCCCTTGATATCTTCTGTCTTAAACGAAATAAAGCTCCAGTTCGAAGAAGAACTTAATCCAGACGACCCAAAACTAACTATTATCCATTCGATAACCCCGGAGCAATTACATTCATCAGGGATGATTAAATCAACATCCAAAGCAAAAATTAAAGGCTCTATTCTAGAATACATCACAAGTTATGTACAAGTCAGGCGTGGGAGGTCCAGACCCCCGTCAGGAAACGATATGTCTGCAGCACTAAGAAGAGATGCCGGCATAACACCACACCCTCACGAGAATGTCGCGTCGACTTCCGCTCCAAGAGAATCTCATGCTACAACACGAACCACTGAGATTAGCATTCCTTTAAACAGGGCGGCTGCCTCGGACAGTCCAGAAAACGAAGACGTATTTGACGACGAACTCGAAGAGGACCCGACCCAAACAGAGCTATCACAGAGGTACCCAGCACTTCCGCGGACTCCGTGCCCAAAAAACTTATTTATAGGAAACATGTTATACTCTTATTTGAACAACCTCTACTCCACCGATCGGCACTTGTACCCCAAAAGATGGAATAACTTGAAGAAGAATGACCCTGACCAGGCCTGGCATTCCCTTAACCGGACTATGGTTACTTTTTTCAATAGCCGATGGAAAAACCAAGGGGTACAATTAGAAATGGGTGAGACTCCGGTAGACTCCATGAGTTACCATGACTTAAAATTGTCAATAGTTCAAACTATAACAGAGGCTCATGCGGCACAAGGAGCCAATTCCACTCCCGCCCCCACTTCAGGCTCCACTCCCAGTCTGGGAACCGACTCCATAATGAGACTAGAGAGGAGTATAGGCCGATTAGAGGAAGCTGCTCGAGTCTTAACGTCCCATACTACCAAAGTAACAGGAAGAGAGATATCATCTTCAACTCCTCAACCACTATCTCAGCCCCAACTCACTGGCTTTCCCTCCACATCAGGACCCCAGAAGCGACCGCATGAATCGGACAGCGAAGAAGAAGTTTTAGTTGGATGACGACCGATCAATTCTCTATCTAGTTTAGAAAAAACCGACAAGTGACATAAACTTCGAAGAGGACTCCACGACCCTACGTGTCAAGATGAAGGTCTTCGCTCCACTCTTGACTTTGCTCCTTCTTCTCTTCTCGTTATTACCCGTCCACTCCTCTTCTGATTCAGAGCGGATCGGTGGTCAAAGAGGAAGTGATCCCATAATCATTGAAAATTCAGCTCCAATTCTACGAGGCGCCCTTGTTGATCAATATAATGGCCAGGCCTTAATCATAAGATTCAAGTCACCTAGCGACATTATTAAGGACTCAATAACGAACCTAGCCTTTGACAAGATGGACCCCAAAACAGCTCAGGACTTGTGGTTAAAGAACTTTATTTATCTCTCATAAAGAACAATGTTCACTTGAATGAGATGTAAAACACAATTCAATTCAAACAACAATTCAGTACAGTAGCAACGAACCATAGAACTCAAGAGCGGTTAATCCAAGTGCTCCCTACAATAATCCAATAGTTTCCTCCTAAAAATCACAAACGTTTTTTCATCAAACACTTCGTCAGGCAAGCCATTATATAGTTTCGCTCCCTCAAACTGTATACTTTTAATTCCATATTTGGTCCTGGTCTTGGGTAATTCAAGTTTGTGTTTATGTCTCGTGTTATGTTTGTATGTTTTAGTTTTAAATGTTATTTGTGTGTGTATTGATTTCGTAAGAATTTTTCTAATTAATATGCATGTTTTATATTTATATAACTGGTTAATTGATAATATATTTGTACGTTTATATAATTCCTCAGTTGACATGTGATAATCTAAATGGAACAAAGTTTTTATTAATTTATTTTGCGAAATTTGAAGATCCTTTATATTAGTTTTAGATGCACTTCCCCAAATCTCAACAAGATATTCCAATAAAGGTTTTATTAGTGAGTTATATATTATAATACGAATCTTGTGTGGTATACAACGTGATGATCTACGTATAGCTCCAGTAAGTGAGGTTATTTTTCTTTGTATATAATCTAAATGTGCATACCATGTTAGTTTCGGGTCTAGGATCAGGCCTAGATATTTTTCTTGATTTGATTGTTGGATAGTCAGGTTATTTATTGTTAATGGAGTGAAATTTGGAATTTTCTTATTTTTTGCATGAAAAAGCATGAAAGAGGTTTTTTCAATATTTATAGTGAGTAAATTATATTGAAACCATTCGTGTAGTTTATCTAAATCGTTCTGTGCTTTTACTAATAGACGTTCTATAGAATCCTCAAAGTAAAACAAACAAGTGTCGTCTGCATACAGCGATACTTCCCCAAATAATCCTAGGTTACTAATATCATTTATATATATTAAAAATAGCAAAGGCCCTAAAATGGATCCCTGCGGAATGCCATAAGTTATAAGTTTTGGTGTACTTTTAGTATTTTCAATCTTAACTATTTGTTGTCTATTTGTAAGGTATGATGTAAGTAATTTTAAAGCTGATCCATAAATACCAATACTGCTTAATTTATTTATCAAAATAGTATGAGACACGGTATCGAAAGCTTTTTTTAAGTCTATAAATATACCTAAAACTAATTTCTTTTGATCAATATTATTTTTTATTTTAGTAACTAAATCGATTGTTGCAGATAATGTATTACAGTTTTTCCGAAAACCATATTGCTGTTGGAAAAAAAAATCAATGTCATTAAGATAATTATTCAGACGTACATGTATTACTTTTTCAAATACCTTCGATAAAGCTGGTAGAACAGATATCGGACGGTAGTTTCCAGGATCAGATTTACAACCTGATTTATAAATGGGACCGACTTTTGCTATTTTTAGGGAATCAGGAAATACTCCTTCTTTTATACACTTATTAATACAATGGCTTAAATCTTCACACAGTATTCTGTTAATACATTTTAATGATTTTATTGTGATATTGTCTATACCTGAGCTAGAATTAGCATTTAAATTTTTAATAATTGTTTGAATTTCAGTTTTCGTGGTTTGCTTAAACTCATTAAATCTGTATGGGTGTCTTTGTGTATGTGTTATGTATGCTGTTGTTTTGTGATATTTCTGTGGTATATTATTTGCCAAGATTGGACCAATAGAAGAAAAGTAAATGTTAAAAGACTCACATATGCCTTGAAGATCACCAATAGTTTTATCATCTATTATTAGTTTTGAGGGAACAACACTATTTTTATTCTTATTACTAGCTAAACTGTGAATTAAGTTCCACATCCGTCTTGGTTTGTTGTATGTTTTCATAAAAGCATCAAAATAGTAACCGTCTTTGGTATTTTTTATGAGAGTTCGAACATGGTTTCTTGCGCAAATAAAGTCATTATTTAAAGCCGTGTTATTACGGTCTTTCTTTAAATCTCTCCATAACTGATTCCGTTTGCTTATTTCATTAATAATGTTTTTATTTATCCAGTCTTCTTGAGGTAAATTTTGTATTTTGTACTTTATTATTTTGTGGCTCTCAATTTCAGTTTTAATATAGTTTTCTAAAACGCCAAAATAAAACATATACACGTGAATAAAAGATATGTTCGTGAGTTCAATTCTAGATCGATCGACGTATTTTTACATTTGTGATGGCTTAATTGGTATCTTTGGAAGTATAAAAATACAGGGAGCAACTTGTGATGAGGTCTTGATTCGTCAGTTCCTCAAGGTCCAGAGAAGCTCCAAAGGATGCATCATTGATGAAACTCAGAAAGAACAGATAATTGGACTTCTAGGAGACTCGGCCGAGTCAATCTATGAAGAAGCTAGAAGGATCGTTGGGCTCCTACAAAAAAGGCAACTCGCCGAGGAATAGTCGGTCTTGTAAAGCTACACCGTTTAGAAAAACCCGACACATGACATTTCAGTTAACGAAGCCCACTAACTCTCAAAGACATGGCCAACAAAGCATCTATCCCCTTGATATCTTCTGTCTTAAACGAAATAAAGCTCCAGTTCGAAGAAGAACTTAATCCAGACGACCCAAAACTAACTATTATCCATTCGATAACCCCGGAGCAATTACATTCATCAGGGATGATTAAATCAACATCCAAAGCAAAAATTAAAGGCTCTATTCTAGAATACATCACAAGTTATGTACAAGTCAGGCGTGGGAGGTCCAGACCCCCGTCAGGAAACGATATGTCTGCAGCACTAAGAAGAGATGCCGGCATAACACCACACCCTCACGAGAATGTCGCGTCGACTTCCGCTCCAAGAGAATCTCATGCTACAACACGAACCACTGAGATTAGCATTCCTTTAAACAGGGCGGCTGCCTCGGACAGTCCAGAAAACGAAGACGTATTTGACGACGAACTCGAAGAGGACCCGACCCAAACAGAGCTATCACAGAGGTACCCAGCACTTCCGCGGACTCCGTGCCCAAAAAACTTATTTATAGGAAACATGTTATACTCTTATTTGAACAACCTCTACTCCACCGATCGGCACTTGTACCCCAAAAGATGGAATAACTTGAAGAAGAATGACCCTGACCAGGCCTGGCATTCCCTTAACCGGACTATGGTTACTTTTTTCAATAGCCGATGGAAAAACCAAGGGGTACAATTAGAAATGGGTGAGACTCCGGTAGACTCCATGAGTTACCATGACTTAAAATTGTCAATAGTTCAAACTATAACAGAGGCTCATGCGGCACAAGGAGCCAATTCCACTCCCGCCCCCACTTCAGGCTCCACTCCCAGTCTGGGAACCGACTCCATAATGAGACTAGAGAGGAGTATAGGCCGATTAGAGGAAGCTGCTCGAGTCTTAACGTCCCATACTACCAAAGTAACAGGAAGAGAGATATCATCTTCAACTCCTCAACCACTATCTCAGCCCCAACTCACTGGCTTTCCCTCCACATCAGGACCCCAGAAGCGACCGCATGAATCGGACAGCGAAGAAGAAGTTTTAGTTGGATGACGACCGATCAATTCTCTATCTAGTTTAGAAAAAACCGACAAGTGACATAAACTTCGAAGAGGACTCCACGACCCTACGTGTCAAGATGAAGGTCTTCGCTCCACTCTTGACTTTGCTCCTTCTTCTCTTCTCGTTATTACCCGTCCACTCCTCTTCTGATTCAGAGCGGATCGGTGGTCAAAGAGGAAGTGATCCCATAATCATTGAAAATTCAGCTCCAATTCTACGAGGCGCCCTTGTTGATCAATATAATGGCCAGGCCTTAATCATAAGATTCAAGTCACCTAGCGACATTATTAAGGACTCAATAACGAACCTAGCCTTTGACAAGATGGACCCCAAAACAGCTCAGGACTTGTGGTTAAAGAACTTTATTTATCTCTCATAAAGAACAATGTTCACTTGAATGAGATGTAAAACACAATTCAATTCAAACAACAATTCAGTACAGTAGCAACGAACCATAGAACTCAAGAGCGGTTAATCCAAGTGCTCCCTACAATAATCCAATAGTTTCCTCCTAAAAATCACAAACGTTTTTTCATCAAACACTTCGTCAGGCAAGCCATTATATAGTTTCGCTCCCTCAAACTGTATACTTTTAATTCCATATTTGGTCCTGGTCTTGGGTAATTCAAGTTTGTGTTTATGTCTCGTGTTATGTTTGTATGTTTTAGTTTTAAATGTTATTTGTGTGTGTATTGATTTCGTAAGAATTTTTCTAATTAATATGCATGTTTTATATTTATATAACTGGTTAATTGATAATATATTTGTACGTTTATATAATTCCTCAGTTGACATGTGATAATCTAAATGGAACAAAGTTTTTATTAATTTATTTTGCGAAATTTGAAGATCCTTTATATTAGTTTTAGATGCACTTCCCCAAATCTCAACAAGATATTCCAATAAAGGTTTTATTAGTGAGTTATATATTATAATACGAATCTTGTGTGGTATACAACGTGATGATCTACGTATAGCTCCAGTAAGTGAGGTTATTTTTCTTTGTATATAATCTAAATGTGCATACCATGTTAGTTTCGGGTCTAGGATCAGGCCTAGATATTTTTCTTGATTTGATTGTTGGATAGTCAGGTTATTTATTGTTAATGGAGTGAAATTTGGAATTTTCTTATTTTTTGCATGAAAAAGCATGAAAGAGGTTTTTTCAATATTTATAGTGAGTAAATTATATTGAAACCATTCGTGTAGTTTATCTAAATCGTTCTGTGCTTTTACTAATAGACGTTCTATAGAATCCTCAAAGTAAAACAAACAAGTGTCGTCTGCATACAGCGATACTTCCCCAAATAATCCTAGGTTACTAATATCATTTATATATATTAAAAATAGCAAAGGCCCTAAAATGGATCCCTGCGGAATGCCATAAGTTATAAGTTTTGGTGTACTTTTAGTATTTTCAATCTTAACTATTTGTTGTCTATTTGTAAGGTATGATGTAAGTAATTTTAAAGCTGATCCATAAATACCAATACTGCTTAATTTATTTATCAAAATAGTATGAGACACGGTATCGAAAGCTTTTTTTAAGTCTATAAATATACCTAAAACTAATTTCTTTTGATCAATATTATTTTTTATTTTAGTAACTAAATCGATTGTTGCAGATAATGTATTACAGTTTTTCCGAAAACCATATTGCTGTTGGAAAAAAAAAAATCAATGTCATTAAGATAATTATTCAGACGTACATGTATTACTTTTTCAAATACCTTCGATAAAGCTGGTAGAACAGATATCGGACGGTAGTTTCCAGGATCAGATTTACAACCTGATTTATAAATGGGACCGACTTTTGCTATTTTTAGGGAATCAGGAAATACTCCTTCTTTTATACACTTATTAATACAATGGCTTAAATCTTCACACAGTATTCTGTTAATACATTTTAATGATTTTATTGTGATATTGTCTATACCTGAGCTAGAATTAGCATTTAAATTTTTAATAATTGTTTGAATTTCAGTTTTCGTGGTTTGCTTAAACTCATTAAATCTGTATGGGTGTCTTTGTGTATGTGTTATGTATGCTGTTGTTTTGTGATATTTCTGTGGTATATTATTTGCCAAGATTGGACCAATAGAAGAAAAGTAAATGTTAAAAGACTCACATATGCCTTGAAGATCACCAATAGTTTTATCATCTATTATTAGTTTTGAGGGAACAACACTATTTTTATTCTTATTACTAGCTAAACTGTGAATTAAGTTCCACATCCGTCTTGGTTTGTTGTATGTTTTCATAAAAGCATCAAAATAGTAACCGTCTTTGGTATTTTTTATGAGAGTTCGAACATGGTTTCTTGCGCAAATAAAGTCATTATTTAAAGCCGTGTTATTACGGTCTTTCTTTAAATCTCTCCATAACTGATTCCGTTTGCTTATTTCATTAATAATGTTTTTTATTTATCCAGTCTTCTTGAGGTAAATTTTGTATTTTGTACTTTATTATTTTGTGGCTCTCAATTTCAGTTTTAATATAGTTTTCTAAAACGCCAAAATAAAACATATACACGTGAATAAAAGATATGTTCGTGAGTTCAATTCTAGATCGATCGACGTATTTTTACATTTGTGATGGCTTAATTGGTATCTTTGGAAGTATAAAAATACAGGGAGCAACTTGTGATGAGGTCTTGATTCGTCAGTTCCTCAAGGTCCAGAGAAGCTCCAAAGGATGCATCATTGATGAAACTCAGAAAGAACAGATAATTGGACTTCTAGGAGACTCGGCCGAGTCAATCTATGAAGAAGCTAGAAGGATCGTTGGGCTCCTACAAAAAAGGCAACTCGCCGAGGAATAGTCGGTCTTGTAAAGCTACACCGTTTAGAAAAACCCGACACATGACATTTCAGTTAACGAAGCCCACTAACTCTCAAAGACATGGCCAACAAAGCATCTATCCCCTTGATATCTTCTGTCTTAAAACGAAATAAAGCTCCAGTTCGAAGAAGAACTTAATCCAGACGACCCAAAACTAACTATTATCCATTCGATAACCCCGGAGCAATTACATTCATCAGGGATGATTAAATCAACATCCAAAGCAAAAATTAAAGGCTCTATTCTAGAATACATCACAAGTTATGTACAAGTCAGGCGTGGGAGGTCCAGACCCCCGTCAGGAAACGATATGTCTGCAGCACTAAGAAGAGATGCCGGCATAACACCACACCCTCACGAGAATGTCGCGTCGACTTCCGCTCCAAGAGAATCTCATGCTACAACACGAACCACTGAGATTAGCATTCCTTTAAACAGGGCGGCTGCCTCGGACAGTCCAGAAAACGAAGACGTATTTGACGACGAACTCGAAGAGGACCCGACCCAAACAGAGCTATCACAGAGGTACCCAGCACTTCCGCGGACTCCGTGCCCAAAAAACTTATTTATAGGAAACATGTTATACTCTTATTTGAACAACCTCTACTCCACCGATCGGCACTTGTACCCCAAAAGATGGAATAACTTGAAGAAGAATGACCCTGACCAGGCCTGGCATTCCCTTAACCGGACTATGGTTACTTTTTTCAATAGCCGATGGAAAAACCAAGGGGTACAATTAGAAATGGGTGAGACTCCGGTAGACTCCATGAGTTACCATGACTTAAAATTGTCAATAGTTCAAACTATAACAGAGGCTCATGCGGCACAAGGAGCCAATTCCACTCCCGCCCCCACTTCAGGCTCCACTCCCAGTCTGGGAACCGACTCCATAATGAGACTAGAGAGGAGTATAGGCCGATTAGAGGAAGCTGCTCGAGTCTTAACGTCCCATACTACCAAAGTAACAGGAAGAGAGATATCATCTTCAACTCCTCAACCACTATCTCAGCCCCAACTCACTGGCTTTCCCTCCACATCAGGACCCCAGAAGCGACCGCATGAATCGGACAGCGAAGAAGAAGTTTTAGTTGGATGACGACCGATCAATTCTCTATCTAGTTTAGAAAAAACCGACAAGTGACATAAACTTCGAAGAGGACTCCACGACCCTACGTGTCAAGATGAAGGTCTTCGCTCCACTCTTGACTTTGCTCCTTCTTCTCTTCTCGTTATTACCCGTCCACTCCTCTTCTGATTCAGAGCGGATCGGTGGTCAAAGAGGAAGTGATCCCATAATCATTGAAAATTCAGCTCCAATTCTACGAGGCGCCCTTGTTGATCAATATAATGGCCAGGCCTTAATCATAAGATTCAAGTCACCTAGCGACATTATTAAGGACTCAATAACGAACCTAGCCTTTGACAAGATGGACCCCAAAACAGCTCAGGACTTGTGGTTAAAGAACTTTATTTATCTCTCATAAAGAACAATGTTCACTTGAATGAGATGTAAAACACAATTCAATTCAAACAACAATTCAGTACAGTAGCAACGAACCATAGAACTCAAGAGCGGTTAATCCAAGTGCTCCCTACAATAATCCAATAGTTTCCTCCTAAAAATCACAAACGTTTTTTCATCAAACACTTCGTCAGGCAAGCCATTATATAGTTTCGCTCCCTCAAACTGTATACTTTTAATTCCATATTTGGTCCTGGTCTTGGGTAATTCAAGTTTGTGTTTATGTCTCGTGTTATGTTTGTATGTTTTAGTTTTAAATGTTATTTGTGTGTGTATTGATTTCGTAAGAATTTTTCTAATTAATATGCATGTTTTATATTTATATAACTGGTTAATTGATAATATATTTGTACGTTTATATAATTCCTCAGTTGACATGTGATAATCTAAATGGAACAAAGTTTTTATTAATTTATTTTGCGAAATTTGAAGATCCTTTATATTAGTTTTAGATGCACTTCCCCAAATCTCAACAAGATATTCCAATAAAGGTTTTATTAGTGAGTTATATATTATAATACGAATCTTGTGTGGTATACAACGTGATGATCTACGTATAGCTCCAGTAAGTGAGGTTATTTTTCTTTGTATATAATCTAAATGTGCATACCATGTTAGTTTCGGGTCTAGGATCAGGCCTAGATATTTTTCTTGATTTGATTGTTGGATAGTCAGGTTATTTATTGTTAATGGAGTGAAATTTGGAATTTTCTTATTTTTTGCATGAAAAAGCATGAAAGAGGTTTTTTCAATATTTATAGTGAGTAAATTATATTGAAACCATTCGTGTAGTTTATCTAAATCGTTCTGTGCTTTTACTAATAGACGTTCTATAGAATCCTCAAAGTAAAACAAACAAGTGTCGTCTGCATACAGCGATACTTCCCCAAATAATCCTAGGTTACTAATATCATTTATATATATTAAAAATAGCAAAGGCCCTAAAATGGATCCCTGCGGAATGCCATAAGTTATAAGTTTTGGTGTACTTTTAGTATTTTCAATCTTAACTATTTGTTGTCTATTTGTAAGGTATGATGTAAGTAATTTTAAAGCTGATCCATAAATACCAATACTGCTTAATTTATTTATCAAAATAGTATGAGACACGGTATCGAAAGCTTTTTTTAAGTCTATAAATATACCTAAAACTAATTTCTTTTGATCAATATTATTTTTTATTTTAGTAACTAAATCGATTGTTGCAGATAATGTATTACAGTTTTTCCGAAAACCATATTGCTGTTGGAAAAAAAAATCAATGTCATTAAGATAATTATTCAGACGTACATGTATTACTTTTTCAAATACCTTCGATAAAGCTGGTAGAACAGATATCGGACGGTAGTTTCCAGGATCAGATTTACAACCTGATTTATAAATGGGACCGACTTTTGCTATTTTTAGGGAATCAGGAAATACTCCTTCTTTTATACACTTATTAATACAATGGCTTAAATCTTCACACAGTATTCTGTTAATACATTTTAATGATTTTATTGTGATATTGTCTATACCTGAGCTAGAATTAGCATTTAAATTTTTAATAATTGTTTGAATTTCAGTTTTCGTGGTTTGCTTAAACTCATTAAATCTGTATGGGTGTCTTTGTGTATGTGTTATGTATGCTGTTGTTTTGTGATATTTCTGTGGTATATTATTTGCCAAGATTGGACCAATAGAAGAAAAGTAAATGTTAAAAGACTCACATATGCCTTGAAGATCACCAATAGTTTTATCATCTATTATTAGTTTTGAGGGAACAACACTATTTTTATTCTTATTACTAGCTAAACTGTGAATTAAGTTCCACATCCGTCTTGGTTTGTTGTATGTTTTCATAAAAGCATCAAAATAGTAACCGTCTTTGGTATTTTTTATGAGAGTTCGAACATGGTTTCTTGCGCAAATAAAGTCATTATTTAAAGCCGTGTTATTACGGTCTTTCTTTAAATCTCTCCATAACTGATTCCGTTTGCTTATTTCATTAATAATGTTTTTATTTATCCAGTCTTCTTGAGGTAAATTTTGTATTTTGTACTTTATTATTTTGTGGCTCTCAATTTCAGTTTTAATATAGTTTTCTAAAACGCCAAAATCATTATGTTCATTTGAAAAATTTTTTTTCAGACATGTCTTTATAGAGTAAGTTGTAATTAATAGCTTCGTACCTATATTTCTTCTTTGGTTCTTTTTTATATCTTTTTAACTCACAATAAATCTGCTTGTGGTCTGATAGTGGCGAGTCAATTATAGCCAAATGAAAATCATTATTAATGTTTGTAGATATATGATCAATAATTGATTTAGTTGTCGGCGTTTCTCGAGTGCAGTAGTTACTAGCTATTTTATTTAGTATTTCATATCCAGTTTGTTGCATAATATATTTATATTTTTTAGTGAGTTTGTCATTATTCATTAAATTTATGTTGAAGTCGCCAAATACTATCGATCTTTTTCTATTTTCTAATTGTCCGGAGTAAGTCAGTAAGAAGGTATCAGTATTTGTTGCTGGAGGTTTATATATAAGCCCAATATGTATAGCGTACTTTTCAAGATATATCCATAAATAGTTGTTTCCATCGACGTATATTTCCTCCGTAATGGTGTGGGTTAGATCGCTGTGTACGTAAATTGATACACCTCCACCTATGCTATCAGTTCTAAAATTATAAACATGTGTATAATTCGGTATTTTAAGGGTAAATGCATCTTTCTCTGATTTTATCCAAGTTTCGGTTAAGAGTATTAAGTGTATCATATGTTTAAAAGATTTAATATTACATTTCAATTCATCAATTTTACCTTCTTTTATTAAACTTCTCACATTTGCATAGAAAAATTTCAAAGAATTTACCGTCGTTATAACGTTACTGTAGTCGTTAGTAATTTGATGTGTAATAACTTCCTTTGGCGTAAGTTTATCAGTTGGTATTGGATCTATGTTCGGTTTTTTAAAGTAGCTTTAGTTATCTTAGGTATTCCATTAATATATTTTATAATTAAATTTGTTTCCCCACTTTGTTGTCGTTGGGCGAGTTCATTTTTCAAATTCTTCATGTATTTTATTTGTGCAGGTGTTTGATCCCAAAATATACGAATTTTAGAGTCATTTAATCTATTTCGGTTATGTAGAATCGATGTGGCTATTTCTTGGTTGTCGAAACACACTTTAATATTCCGATTTTTGCCTGAGATAAATTTTCCTAATCGTATAATTTTGTTCGGCATTGGAGAATTTTTATAAATTTGATTAATAATTTTTAATACTTCCTGTTTGTCGTATTCTCTTCGTGATTGCAGATTTTTATCATTTAATTCGATTATACCCGCTATTATAATATTCTTTTGTCGGTTATAACGATCTTGCATTTCAATGGTGATGCTTTCGTGATTAGGCGTTAGCGAGGTGGACGAGGGCAGATAATTATTTTTATATTGAGTTATGTCGTCTTCGAGTTGCTTAATTTTTACTTGTATGGATAAAATTTGCTGTTTCATGTTTTCTAATTCTTGTCTAAAAGTTTGCTGTTCCAAAATTATATTTTCAGTGGATGTTTTTATTTCTTGTTTAATTTCAGATATTTCTTGAAAAAATTTATTGTTGTTATGGTTTTGATTTACACTAAAATTTTCAAAAAACGTTTGTATTTCACGACGCAATTTAGTCAATTCTTCTGTAAAATATGTAGGATCATTTTCACGCTCCTTTCTTTTTCTTATAGTTATGTTGTCTTCTCGTGTAATAGCACGTAAATCTGGCGTCGACTCGCTGCCGCTTATGATATTCCCGCTATTCGATGAAGGTTGTAAACTCATCTTGATGCTAAATGAGCGGGCTCGATCGCACGAAGCGGTGTCGAGCGAGATCAAAAATAAGATGCTCTCTCTTTTACTCGAGGGGAGAGGGGTGCGAGTACGTCGGAATTTATCACTTTTTATTTGCAACGTATGAAGTTAACTCACAAATGAACTTATTCAGTTTGCACTATAAGATATTTATAATTGCTTAGCACTATATTATAATTTACGATTTATATTTTTATACAATCCAGACGTGTGCTCGCTACAGCGATCAGTTGCTCTGTCTGCTCAGGACTTAAGATTAACATTCGGATCTCTCGAAACTCATTACCAAAAACAGTTCAAAGAAGTGCTTTCGGTCCATCAGGAGTTGATTGCGACTCCATACCCTCTGGAGACATCAGAAGGTAACGGACGTTTAATTGATATTTCAAGATATGGGAGGTCAAAGCGCAACCTGTGGATGCGTTTACTAACTTTTTTGCGGTCGGTCCGTCCCGTTGCGAGAATGGCCGGTAAACTCACTCGCTACGGCAAGTTTATGAAAGGAATCAAGTATGCGGGGTATGCAGCATCAACCGCCGTGTTCGCGTACGAAATGGCAGATGTCTTCGGTGCAATCCCCGATAAGAAGTATGAGGAAGTCTCCCGCCAACTAGAAGAGCTTCATTCCTCAAGAACAAAGGACTTGTTCATCATGAAGAATATAACTCTCTTTACTACTGGCTTACACGACAGCATAAGGGATGTAACTTCGCAAATAAACCAGGTTATATCTGAATCCTACGATAAGTATGAGATGTACGTCAAGGGGTCACAGATACTGAATTCCTACATTCAGCAGGTGAATATCAACTTGATCCTAATCAGGCTCGGAGGCATCCCATCCAATGTCATAACAATCGAGAATCAGAGGATCTGGTTAGAGAACAAACTCCCATCCTTACTTCTCCCTGATATTGGGACAATAACACCCCACTTAAAGACTACTTTGAAGGCTATCGACGAGGAGAAGAACCAGGTAATTTTGTATGTAGAAGTACCCACCCTTGGAACTGACTTTCAACTCCTGAACTTTGTCAGATGGGAACCAGAGCTCATGGTAAACAAAGTGTGTTACTCTTCTCCTCGAAAAGAGCTATACCTTGCATTCAAACGCGACATCGGAGATGGGATGATAGAAGACCCTCTCCTCGTCGACCCAGAGTCTTGTTTAATATCTGGATTTATACTCTGTGAGTCCGATGCTCTTTTGGATACGATCCCCCAGCTGCACGAAAATAGGATATGTTCTCAAAGAAAACTAAAAGAGAAACGGAGGGTCCGGAGGTCATCAGTGGACCTGTTTGACATGGCACAACATCCGACGTATGACCTGAGCGAAATAGTACAGAAGACACTGAACAAAGATCAAAAGATAAAAGAAGCTGGCGATAGCATCACTTCATTGAACAAAATCATAGATCAGCTCATTGATGAGTCAAAGAAAAACACGGTCAATTCGAAGATCCTATTGGAACAAGCATCTCGCGATGATAAGGTTATCAAGGCTCTCTACATTATAGGCACGTTGGTCATATTGCTTTCTTTCATCTACCTAGGTAAGTACGCCTATAAGCTAGTAATTCAACAGAAGAGTCGCAAACTAGCTCAACGGACTGAACAGCTCGTCCGCCATATAGCGTCCCTAGAAAGCAACACGTAACATACAGCACTTTCTTGTAGTTTAGAAAAAACCGATGACACAAGACATAAACACTCACAACCACAATCCGAGCTCCAAGAGTCCAATCATGACTGAGTATAACCCGTCCCCCTATTCTCGAGAATCACAGTCCCTTCTTGATAGTTTGAAAAGTATGGGGATAATATGTACCACAAAATGAGCCAGAATTTAGTCTAAGAATATTAACAGAGGCTGCCGTTTGGAATACCAAAATACATCATGAGAGTTATTATGGAGTTCAGATGAATTTAGATGATGAGTTAGAAAGTTATAAGTCGATCCTTTACGATAGCAAAATCCAGGACTTATACAGAATAAAGACTCGAGTTGAACATATCAAGAGTCAGATAACCAACATAGAGCAAACTTTAGGAGAGTTCCATGTCGTTTCCGATGACCTGTTAATAGAAAAAGAATTGTCTATCGTCCGTACCAATGGGAAATACCTCCTTTACCCCACAACCCTGATCATGTGTGTTCTCGACAACCTCCAGACTAGATTCTACATACGACTGCATGTAATGATTAAAGAGAAGAACGAGAGAATAGCGGGACTCCTTCGACATTACGACATTCTCAACTCCGTACTAATTGAGTTGCGGGGGAAGTACAGGAATGGATTCTACGAGATCATGAAGAATTGGGATGCATACTGCATTGGTCTCACGGTTGCGGATACCGTAGAAGATTTAGGATTTCAAACTTTGAAAGATTCAATCGAAGAAGAATTAAAAGGGAAGTTTAACAGGTACGACGTCGAGAGACTGCTAAGATTAATGTCTTGCGACAAAATCTCATATAAAAGAGATGTAGCCGTTCCTGTTTCTCTCTACTTCTCAAACCTTAGTAAAAATTATGGACATCCGATCTTACACCCAGTAGAAGGGATAGAGAAACTGCGACAAAACTCGAAAAAGCAAATAGATGTTGACGACCAAATAGCAAGGAAAGCCCTGTGGATGTTCCGGAAAACCTATACCATAAATTATTACCGAAAGAAGGGGCACTATCCAAAACACACCATCCTGGGCGGCATTCACCCCGTTCTCACCGAATGTCTAAAAGACGAGCGTGCTCTGACGAGTAACGAATCTCGGAACCTCCCCTTATCAGCATGGAGCAACATACAACTTGAGAAGAACCATGACATGAGTCTGGAAATCGACGAGAAAGAACTGCTGAAGGACACGGCATGCTCACCTCCGAGAGAGGAATGGTTCAGACCTTACGACCAGTGTGCCTTCATGAACCTGTATAACCAACGAAAGCCGAGAAGTTCGGCACATTTCGAACCGAGAGTCTTGGCGAGGTATCTCAAAGGAGATGAAGGCGAACTCGCTAAGAAGATTTCTGACCAAGAAAACCTCTACTACAACCACTTGAGGGACGACATCGTTCAGCTGTGTAGGAAAGAACGAGAGTTGAGCGTTAAGGGACGGGTTTTCTGCAAACAAACATATGAGATGAGGTTAATGCAAGTATGCATGGAGAAGTCACTAAGCGACAATGTCCTACCCTATATCAAAGAACAAACCATGACCAATACAGAGCTGGAAGTCGCAAAAAGAATGGACAAGGTTGCCTCACACATTCGAGAAAAAGGACACGCTAATCTAAATCTTGATCTCAGTTCATGGAATCAGTTGAACCGACACGACTTAAACAAATATCTGTTTCAAGAACTCGACAGACTTCACGGTAGAAGAAACCTCTATTCGGACTCTCATCTTTGGTTCAATAGATGCATGGTGCTCTTAAGTTCTAGATTAACTCCACCAGAGATTGGTCCCAACGGGGAACCATTAGCCGGTGATTACTGCCACTACAACCAGTTCGGTGGATTCGAAGGGATGAGACAAAAGGCCTGGACTCTGACGACGATTATGATTATAAAGATAGCCTTAGAGGAGTGTAACATCCAAGGAGAGGTTATGGGCCAAGGTGACAATCAAATCATACACATAAGACTCAACGATGAACAACAGAGTCAGCCTCATTTTTACATCAAGATGTTACTTAATAGTTTGGATTATTTGTTCAAATCAGCAGGACTATCACTCAAACTTCAGGAGACGTGGTACTCTCAGAATCTGTTCGAGTATTCAAAAGTTCGGTATTACAAATCCTTGCGTATCGATGATAGCCTCAAAAGACTCAACAGGATGATTCCCGATATCAATGAAGGATTTCCCTCATTACAATCCTTAATCACAGGAGTATCGACAACCACCGAAAATATCTCTCGAAACTATGTCTCTCCAATAATCCCGTTCTTTCTTTACTCGATCGAACTCGGGAACACACTGAAACGAAAAGGGGCTGTGGACATAGGAACACGCGACACTGACAAGTTATGTGCCCTAATGAACATACCCTCAATTCTTGGTGGGCTCCCGTTGTCAAATATGTACCAACACTGCCAAAGGGGTTGTCCGGATCCTCTGACGATTTGGCTTAAAATCTTAGAATGTATAAGAAGAACTAGCTCCAAGATCTACAACAGGATACTTCACTTAATACCCTGCGAGATAAAGACCGAACACGACCCTGTTAAGCTGGTAGAAGACATTTACAGCTTAAATATTATAGGAATGCCTAACTTTGAGAGGAAAGCGAGAGAACTGATCGAGGAATTCCTTCCGACGTTTGTCACAAACCCCAAAGTGATCAGGTTATTAGGCGCGGATCGAACCGATTTAGAGTCCCTTTGCAGTATTCTAACGACGATGAGACCGTACGTTGCAAACCTAGCTCACGAGATCTTAAGAAACTCAAATGAAGGAGTACAACTTCAGCTCATAGGAAGTTTTTCCAATCTACAAACTATCAATAGAATGATAAATGAAGATCCTAACAGGACAGAAACCATATTCTCCTTAGGTAAACTCAAAGACGCAGAAGCGATCGAAGTGTTGAAGAAGCGCATGTCACGATCGGAGCTTCCCGTTCAAGGTACACACCTACTTGAGAGGGCCCTATCGTCGATCCCGTGTACATTCAAGGCTGCGTTGTGGCTAAGAGAAATTACTTGGGGTTTCCCAGTGACTGGAATTACAAGTCCCGTACCCTGCGAACAAGTCAAAATAGAAGATTATGACGACATTAGCAAAGATGAGAGGAAAGAATGCATTGTAGCAAAGACATCCTACAATCTCAAAACCTATGGGAAAGAGGCCCTAAGTTCTAGAGGACCTTTCGAACCTTACTTGGGCTCATCAACGCCCGAAAAGATGATCCGGCCTAAACTAACTGTCATCAATCCAAATCCCCAGATCAAGTCGGTCATGAAGCTGTACTATATTCTCTCTTATCTCGAGCGTATGGATGCTGAAAGCCCTCTCATCAGACTTGTTAATAGAATGATTCAAGACAAACTGAAGTATTTACCGGCGGAGTTTAGTCAAGTTCCTCTGTCAGATTGGTGCGGTAGAAATTACGGTGGGAGTTACGAACATCGATTTAAGGCATCATCGCAAAAACGCTCAGCGCTGTTCTCCTTGATGGAAAACCTAGCAACCCATGTAACTATAAACACTAATCTCTTAGGAAAGGCCTTACGCGGGAATGAGGATTACAACCTCTTCTTTCAAGAGATTTTTCTCTACATCCAGAACTATGTGATAGAACGAGCTAACAGGGGCCTCTCCATTGCAGACACTTACGCTATACCACTAAATTGCCCAGACTGTACCTACTTAATCTTAAATACTCCCATTTCTATCAACCTTCAACATATGAGCTACCAATCGAAGTTAGTTTACAACCAGGTTAGCTCAAGGTTGAGCAAAACCAACTTAACGGACAGTATCCAAGTTTGCACACTAGCAATGTCGGTCTCTCTGGGCCGAAAACTCACGACATCGAGGCTGCATGACAAAGATGTACACAATGCCCTAGAGACATTTAAAAATTCCAAAACCGAGGAATCCACAGAGAGGACTAGTAGCAACCTTATGTCGGAATTCCGAAATGCAAACTTAGATTATGTCTTAGTTGGAGCTTTACAAAACAGTAAGCAGTTGGTAGACTTTGTACTGGGCAGGTCAAGGGACTATCCTGTGCATTTATTTGAACATTTGTCTTACCTCATAATTAACAGTGAAAGAATGCAGGAAGTACTCGGAGTACTGCAGGTTCCTATAGAAAAACACTCATCGGTGACACAAACAAGCGGACTAGCGAAGTCACTGGCAAGGGCTGTTTTGAAATATATCCGTTTGAGAGTCGATCCATTCTTTAGGGCTTGTACTTTTACGACGTTCGCATCTGATTTGATTTCTAAGCAGGCGTATCTCTGGAGAACCTTCATAGGTTATTTAATAAGAGAAAACTCAACATTAAGCACATCACAAAAGAAAGGAATTCTAAAGATCCCACAGTGTGGTGGAGAGACTGTACATGAGTGGGGGTTGAAGGTTCCGCTCAACCTGACAAAGAATCTGTCCGTCGAAATAAAATTCGAAGAGACTGACGCTATCTCGGTCTGGAGAGATTTGAAGAATGATATATTTTATTGAATAAAACCGGTACCGTACCGTACGTACCGTACTTCGAACTAGTAAGACGTGTTACAAGCTCCTCTCATTCAAAAATATTTTACTCTTAAAACAGTGGAAATAGTGATTCAAATCAGTAATCATTACATTAAATAAAACTTTAAACAGTATTCCAAGGAAAATATAAACGTTTTGTTCATGTGCAAAGTGTTAAATAATAAAATATATAAAGTGGTTGCTGGATACAATTGAGTGCTGTGATATCTTTTAAACCAATCTACCTACTACAAATTATTAAACTACTAGATCATTACGCCAATACAGTACGAGAATTTCAACATTTACGTCACACGCTCTCTGGTGTCGTGGGCACTGCGCGGAAGTAAAGTCGATGCGCCCGGTGAACCGAGTTCGAGACTCAGCGGACTAAAAATTTTGTATTTTTACAAATTATAAAATTCTTAATACTGGTTGACATAAGCGCCTTAAAATGGTATTTATGTGTAAGATATGCAACATCAATGTCGCAGTTACTCAAAAAAGAATTAAGTGTACGGCATGTTCACAGTACTATCATACCGATTGTATCAAAATGACCAAAGATCTTACAGCAACGAGAGCGCAATGGAAGTGTTCTTCATGTCTGGAACCACAGAAAAAATATGCTTTAAACAACACTAATAATTCAAATATAGAAGTTAAAAAAAATAAAAAGCAGCAATTAGACACAGATGAAAATAATCGTTCTACGTCCACATCAACGTCGCGATCACCTTCCTACTCTTCTCCAGTAGATAATGCAGGTCAACCATTAGTTACTCCAGAAAAAAGTCCATCTGAATTTTTGGTACACTGCGAATCAATTATTGAAGAACGTTTGAGGCCAATGGTACAAGCAATTGTGAATCAGCTAAAGCAATCGCTTATGGAAGAAATACGAAAGGAATTAACCGTTGAACTTAAAAGCTTAGAAGATTCACAAAATAAATTGCGTATGGAATACGATATATTAGAGGAAAAATATAATAAATTGGAATCAGTGGCGCTTCAATCAGAGATTGAACTATCAGATATGAAAGCTCAAATAAATAAACAACAGCAGTGGTCACGAATGACAAATATTGAAGTAATGGGCCTGCCAGAGACAAAGGGAGAATCGCCAATTAATATTATTATAAATATTGCAAAGCATGCCGGAGTCAGTGTCAAACCTGAAGAGATCGAATTTGCAAATCGAGTGCAGCCGATGCAGCAAAAAGCGGGTAGACCGAAATCACTCGTGGCCAAATTAAAAAGTCGCGACTTAAAGGATTCGATTCTATCAGGATTAAGAAAATGCAGGGGTATCAATACGAGTCACATAGGATTGAATGGACCACCTCGAAACTTTTTTGTCAACGAACACCTAACGCCCATGAACAAAGAACTGTTCAGAAAAACAAAAATACGCGCATCAGAAAAGGCTTATAAATTTGTCTGGATAAGAAATTGCAATATTTTTTTAAGAAAAAACGAAGAAGCCCCTGCAATAAACATAAACTCCGAGAAGGATCTAAGAAAAATTACGTAGATTTTAATTATAATAACTTAATATTGAAAACTTCTTATTGCATGATTTGTTATATTGTCAACTTTACACAAAATTTTCAAAATTATGAACTTAGATTTTTCATTTTAGTTAATGGGACGGGGGGGGATTCAATACAAAAATTACATGTCATACTTATACTCACTTACACTTTACCAAGCCACACTACACTACAACAATCTACACAATTACTTATACTATATTTATCAATTATTAGTATTATTACATATACTATAATAATCAATTGTATAGCTGGGCAACTTTTATTAAAATCACAACAAATAAGAATAATATGCTTAAAGAAAACTTTTAACTTATATTTACAAATTAACAATACAATCTACTATTTAATCACATTTTTAGAATTATGCAAAAATATTTTAAATTTAAACGTCACCATTAATGTTGGTTTCAATTATAATTTATTCATATACTTAAGCTTTCCTTTAAATTGCCTACATAGATGATCAATACTTTACAACTATTTTATCAGAATGTCCGTGGATTGCGAACCAAAACTGAAGAATTTCGTTCAAATATATTAATCAACGATTACGATATTATTCTAATAACCGAAACTTGGCTTACAGATGGCTTTTATGTTAGAGAACTATGCGATGACAGATATGACGTTTTTCGTACGGATCGAAATACTAGCACATCGACCAAAAATACTGGAGGTGGAGTTATGATATGCGCCAAATCCATATTACAGCCTCAAGAAAGGGCAGAGTGGAATTCGCCTGGTGTTGAATCAGCTTGGATAACAATCCCTAAAAATGTCATGAAGCATAATCAAAGTTTACATATCGGCGTATTTTATATACCACCAGATATTGATCAAGCTAAACGTATTGAGACAGTAACTACTTTTTTGTCATCCATGTTAATACGCCTACCTGAAGATTACTTCATAATAGTGGGTGATTTTAATCTTCCCCACATTGACTGGAAGGGAACAGGGCCATTACATCTTAATCGTGGATCATCATTGTTACAGACGGTATCAACTAATTTTATTGAAACCTGCAGCGGTTTTAATTTGACACAATTCAACAAAACATCAAATAGTAGTAACAACATTTTGGATTTAGTTTTTGGAAACACTTATCTAGACGTTCAAAGGTCGAATCAAAACTTAGTTGCTGAAGATAAATATCACCCCAGCCTCGAAATTGATGCCACAGATTTTCTATTAAGAGAACTTAATGTACCTCCTTTAAGAAAATTACATTTCCTAAAAGCGAATTACGATGCTATTAATGATACTCTCACTAAGTTAGACTGGCAGTCTATTCTAAACGGTAATTCTATTGATGACATAGTTAACAACTTCTATAACATTATTAACAAAATAGTAGACGAACATGTACCGAATACCACAGGCAAATATCTTAACCACTACCCCATTTGGTATAGCAAATCCCTAATACATATAATTCGAGACAAACTTAAAGCTCATGCACGTTGGAAATTGTCTAAAAATCCACGTGATTATGATGAATTTTCGCTATTAAGATCCAGACAAAAGAAAGTTCAAAATAAGAATTACAAGCAATTTCAAATAAAAATGCAAGAGAATATTAAAAAGGATCCTACACGATTATGGTGGTACCAAAAATACTTACGCAACTATAAGAACGGCTATCCGAGCTCTCTTTCCTTAGGAGATCGTCAATTCAACAATGCTACAGAAATATGCTCGGGATTCTGTGAGTTCTTCGAAAGTGTTTTCGCCAAGTGTAATGGTAAAGCTAGCACACATATCCAAGAGCCTAATATAAGTGATACTATTTGTAACCTCAACATTGACAGAGAACTAGTTTATAAAATACTTAAAGATCTGGATATAAAAAAAGGAGCAGGAAGTGACAGAATCCCAGCTATATTCTACAATAAATGTGCTAAAGCATTGGCAGAGCCACTGTCAATAATATATGGGAAGTCTGTTAATGTGTTTAGCGCTTTTCCAACGAAATGGAAGGAAGCACTAATCATACCAATCCATAAATCTGGGCCAAGGAATAAAATAGAAAATTACAGACCCATTTCGATATTAAATACAGCAAGTAAAATCTTTGAAAGAGTTGTCTATAAAGCTATCGCACCTACTATCCATAACTCAATACCCGTACAACAACACGGTTTTATGGCAAAACGATCAACGGTAACAAACTTATCACTATTTACTAATTACGTTTACATGGCAATGGATAATGGAGGGCAAGTAGATGTAATATATACCGACTTTCAAAAGGCGTTTGACAGAGTAGACCATGATATACTAATGCAAAAGCTTCAAGACCTTGGAATCAAAGGTGACTTGCATAGGTGGTTTTGTTCCTATATATCAAAAAGGCAGCAAACAGTTGTTATAGGTAGTGCTCGTAGTGACTTCATATACGCAACCTCAGTATGATATATTTAACCCTGTATGATATATTTAATTGTTTTACGCACTCCCGTTTTTTACTATTCGCAGATGATAAAAAAATTTATAAAGTAATAAGTAGCACATCCGACTGCATTGAATTGCAACATGACCTTGATAATCTTTCACATTACTATGAAAAAAATAAAATAACCATTAACATTAAAAAAACAGTAAAAATAACATTTTCCAGGAAACATAGAAATATTGAATACAACTATAATATTAATAACAAGCCCATCCAAGAAGTAAAATCAGTGCGTGACCTTGGAATGCAATTAGATTCAAAGTTATTGATGGCAGAGCACATAGAACACGTTACTGATAGGGCATATAAGCAATTAGGCTATATAAAACGAATATGTCATAAATTTAATAATATTGAATACATAAAAACTTTATACTTTACTTATGTACGATCTGTCTTAGAATACGGTTGTATTATATGGTCTCCCAATTATACAACTTACAAAGAAAAACTGGAAAAAATACAAAAAAAATTCGTAAAATTTCTTTGCTTTAAAGAATTTAAAGAATTTAACGATTATATTGATATATGTAAACAATATAATATCGAAACATTGGAAACGAGACGACGACATTATGATATGTATATGTTACACGCAATAATTACGGGAGATATAGATTGCACCGATTTATTGAGCGCTTTATATTTTAGAGTTCCTAATCGCCGCACACGTCATACAGCACTATTCCACACGCCTGAGCTAAAAACTAACTATGCACACAACTCTGTCCTTAATCGCATGGTCCACACATATAATTCACACTACTCAGAAATTGATCTGTTCAGCATGTCAAAACTAGCTTTTAAAAAAGCTATAATTAAAAAAGATAAAAATTCATAATGACAAACATACACACACCCCCACACACACACATACAGACACACACACACACACAAACACACACACACACACACACACACTCAATTATGCAAACACGCACCTATTGGATTCCCACCCGTACCTTTATATTACTTTAATACTATAAATTTTACTTTTATGCTGATTTTACTTGTCTTCTAGTTATAATATGTTTAAGATATACCTGTGTAATCCTATCTTGGTTTTAATTTTATGTTATGTAATATTTAATATAAAAATTTATGTATAAAAACTGTTGGATTACCAAACAAATAAATAAATAAATAAATAAATAAAACTTATATTAAACATTTTGATTGCTATCTTGATTTTCTATTTATAAGAGCCTATTATGTTTTATATGTCGTGTGTCAAATTACGTAAAAATAATTGTAATAAAAAAAAAAACGTAATTTAGTTTTGCATCGGTTCGTTCTTCATGATATGTAGTACCTGCGGAACATTTTATTAGGTGTCCAATCGCCTTGATCATTTCTGGGTGAACCGCTGTTATTGCTGCTACTCCAAGGTCTACTTGGGCCTTCGTCATCGAGCCCACCGCTATACCCTGGCATTCTCGGACTACCGGAATGCAATGACGTTGCCCCCCTATTTCGTAAAAAAAAAAAATAAGAGAACAAAAACAAAATAAATAATGAGAAAACAAAAACAAATAAAAAGGGGGGCATAGTTGTATAAAGACAAACGAATCGCGATATTAGTTATTGTGAACTCAATTAGGGGAGTTGGCGTTTTACCCTTCATGGATTTCTGTATATAAAAGTACTCGAAAGTAGTCCTTAAAACATGACAAAGACTGCCATTTCACGAGAATTTTCTTACTTCGCATCATATTAAAGTGTATGTTACATTCAATAACTTTTATATACTGGCAACTAGATATAACAATGCAGAGAAGCCGTCGAAATTTCTCTGTTATAGAGCTCTTCCCCGGTTCAATCTAATTTCCATTTCTAAAAATTTCCTTCTGAAGCCTTTTATATGAGCGACACAAAGTCGCGCAGGTTCTAAGCAACTCGAACGGTGCATCTAGCAATATAAGTACATCCTACAGATACGAGAGTCTCATTATATGACACTAGAGGTTTCTGGATTAGATATTCTCAATAATAATTTAATAAATGTATATTGAAAAGAACATATACTGTGTTATAATTAATTAGCTTTTTAACTACGATTGAAATGTCAAATGGTTTATAGTAAGGTCTATTATCTTACTAAGAACATTTCGTTCGAAAATAAAACGTTAACATTTCCTGACAGCCAATTACACGAGCTGCAAACTTTTATAATGTTTATAAAGACTCATTTACTTATAAAATTATGCTTATTCTTCCACAACATAGAAAAATCGTAACAGATTTATATTTAACAAACTTTTCAAACTAGTTATAGGGTGTATTCAGTGAGGACGTCTCGACACCATAGCCCCGCTTCAGAGGGACGCGATTCATAACAAAACTTTAAATACGCCAGTGAACTCTGACAGTTAAGAGAACTTTAAGTTTTCTAGTTCTATGAAATGACAAAGACGATTCCTAGCAACGGTAATTGAATCGTAGAGAGGGCTTCCAACACACCTTACTGTTCAAGTGGAACTAATTTCAAACGAAACGGAAAAATAAAATAATTAATTTAAAATTTACGAGAAATTTAAATATTTTTCATACAAGAAATATTCTATTAAAAAAAGAAGTATGACATTACAATCTTCGCAAACAATCGTCAAAATCATATTGAATTACAAAAATATTTTTATTGTTGTTCGATCATATTAATTTCAGAGTCAAAAACCTTTAATGCAAATGAATAATTTATAATTGTCTTGCAATTATCAGAATTACTTAATAATAATCAGATTGTGTACATTATAAAACAAATACAATCTTCATGAAACTAATTACTCTATTGCGTTCTAAATATTTCTTCTATAGTGATTATTTTGAGAGCAGTAGACACAGAATATATGAAATTATTAGCAACGTGATATATTGAATCAACAGCAGGCATCGCTCTGTGAGATTTAGTTACCAATAAATTGATATCGCTCCAATAAATAACTTGACGATGCAATTCCCTTGAGACCAGAGCAGAGCTCTCCGGTAAGCGGAACGAGAGCAAACCTGGCTCACTGATACTACAACAGCCTTTGAAACGTGACTTTGGTATGACGAGACTGTACTGTGAATTCAATTAATAATGTTACATGTAATATAACAGTATTAAAATTACAATATAAATTATCAAGCTCCTTTCTTGCTTTCCACAATGAAATTAAATAAAATAATCAATGTTATTTACTTGAGATTCTAAGGTAAATTTTGGTATCAATATTCACGTATCGAGCGGAGGCTCATATCTAAAGTAATCAGTAGAAAATTAACATCGGGCCGAAACAAGCTAAATATTACAGCCCATGTAAAATTATTACACCAAATCACCTATTGTTTACTATGTATAATCCAACACTTCAAATTTATTTTTCATATAACTTTAAGTACACGTCAAAAATAAGCAAGCAAACAAAACAAAGCTCATTATTTAAGAATGGCTCATCAAACGAAGTGACTTGAAGTTTAAAAGTGCAATAAGTTGATAAAAATAAAACAGTCAGTTAGACGACGGCTAACATTTGAATCGCTACTAGAAACCTCGTTCATAATTTATAAGAATAAATCAAGACATCATGTTACTTCAACTCAATACAATATTGATACTATAAAAAAGAAGTTGGGTTATATTTTGTTATAATATTAAGATGAAATTCAAATAAAATCCATATTGAATTTGACCATCAGACGGATCGCTCGAACGGACAGGCTTGTAAAATGATTAGTACGGAAGATAATCGGGAGTCAAAGCGTCGCCCCCATCCCGGGGACACAAAGGCTGTTCAGTGTACATGCATACAACGATCGTATGAAATTAATTCATATTAGTACGCGGTGAATCCGAACGACGTATGTATATTTACATTCGAGTGTTCGGTCTGCTTGCTTTATTCATTAAAGGGTAGCATTTCAGTGTACCGGCTGTGCTATTACCGGTAAACTGTATCGATCTTTAATGGACTCCCTCATTGTATTTGGAGAGCATCTACTCTATCATTACAGTACAGGATGATACACAGTCTTTGACTTAACTAATATTCAAGAAATAGCCTAAATGAACGTCGGCTTTCAATGAGTTCGCGACACTAGTACATATTTAATTTTCAATAGGAACCTTTCGCTAAACGTATATAATTTTTTTGTCATAAATTCTCTCTAAATTTATTTATCAAATTATTAACTACAATAACCTTTCTTAGTTTTTTCTTCACCATAACCAACATGAAATAATAGTGTCTTTATGTTCCATAAAAATCCAGCTAAATATAAAGAAAGCTTCATCGATTCAAAACCAATTACATATAAAAATTTATAAATAATAGTAACGTGTACGTGGATCGTCTGAAACTAAAATAGCATCTAAGTGGTAGAAATATTACATTTCGTGTTTGACATATGTTCCGACTAGTGACTCTACTATTATAAAAGCCCATTTAATATCACTTCGTAAGACGATAAGGCGCTATTCACACATTTTATGTTATGATTCTTCTGAATATGGACTATAAGAATGGTATTAAGTTAGTATTAAATACATATTAATACGTATGTATCATAAAAAAACTCGTAGCACTTATTTGAAAACCTTTTTTCTATGTAGATCTAAATTTTGTTGGTGACATTGTTCTTACGGGACATGTTATTAGCGAATCTACCCTCTAAAGCTTTCGTCCAAGTCGAATTTGTGTGTTGTTAAATTCATCATTACATGCGTACTCATTCGTTAATGACTTGGTAAAATAAAATAATACCCGTCTTTGGCTCATCATTGAGTTACATACTATTTGTTCAATTTTATTATGAATGGAGAGATGGTATATAACTAATATTTACTTTGAAAACCACCCCTTGGGCTACATTCACAACATCATGTAGATGAGGGTATCAATTGCATATAAACTCTAGTATGGATCTAAACGGTACTGTAACCTAACCTTGTGTTCAGAGTCTAATGCAGCAATTACAGTCGACTATCCGGTATCAATGATAATTAATACATATAAGCTCTAAGTGTGAGTTAGGCAAGGTCTAAACTCATGAGAAGAGGATATTTGCTTTAAATGATCCAAAATACTTCTCACAAAATGGATAAGATGACCTTTTAAAAAAATTAATCTTAATAAACAAACCATTACCGTGAAATAAAATAAATGGGTTTAAAAATTGGTCTATGTTCATAGTTTTTACGGCAATATAAATCAAGTGAGTCTAGTTTATTCCTGAATAGCTCGAAGCCTGAAGTGAATTCTATTCCGTACAGGAAATGAGTACACAGGAATTCCTATCGGTGCGATGCAACATTAACGGAAAAATATGATAACATCTTGCTAGTGTGAAATGTAACAGAAATATACGAGAACATTTACGTTGATACGAAAATTTGAGAAAAAATTGTTCGATCAACAAGTGGTTTTAATAAGTTACCTATTATTTATGCTTTGAAACAAAATAGATACGCAAGGATGACCTATAATGGAAAGTATGATTTTTGGACAGCAAAACAATCCAAAATTCATTATTAGATCATGATATAAAACTAGACAACGCGAAGGATTGATTAAAGCATCGAAAGAAACCGCTATTGCCTTTCCTCCATTTATCACTAAAGAAAATATCAAATTCTTAGTTTTTCCCGACTCTAAATAAGATTCGCGAAAGGTACTGAATTTAGAATTTCTATGACTAAGCTTAAAAGCATATCACAAGGATGCTGCTCAACTTTCTCAGTAACACAAAGTCAGAAATTGTAGAAGATCCTCTAAAGAAATAAAACACCATCTTCTCCAAGTCACTGCGACAGACGTCGAGCACTTTGTTTAGACATTTGAACGATAGATTCCAAGAACATTACACTAGGAACAGTGAGACCGGATTCATTAAGAATAAGACACCGTTGAACAGTGTCATCAATTTTTCAAAGATGTTGGAGGGTCTACACATAGAAGAGTTTTAAAGAAAATATTTTTTTGTTTAGTATTAGCAAAGACTTATATTTTTTGTTAAAACTAAAGGAAATAGAAAAGTCTACGGTATATTATAAGCAGAAACAGAAATATTATACGCGTCAAATGCACTGCAAACTAGTATTACATTTCCAAGTAAATATATTCTAGGAAATATTTAAAATTTTACTATTAAATTAAACTTCCAATTATTTTAAATGACAGCCATCAGTAACAGTACCTTTGAACATGTATATTACCAGAACAATTTCATCCTACCTTAAAATGTAAATTCAATTCTTTGTAAAACGTTTTTAACTGTAGTCAATAGTGAAACGTTTTTGACCGGTACAGCATTTATAAATTGACAATTTTGACGGACACATTTCGTAAAGTTAATTTTAAATCACTTTATATGAAGGCGATAGTTTCCATTTGAAAATACAGTATTTTATTTTTATTTCAAGACAGAACTTTCTTGGATAATGCAATTATTTTACGGAAGAGAAAGCTCAAAAAGAACACATCTTTTTTA